ACCCCAGGTACTTTTTTAGAATTTTTAAATCTTTTAAAATTACATAAATACTCTTTACTATTTTTTTTATTTTTTTTAAATACTACCACCTCAGTAATTCCGTCACCGGAGCTCTGACGCCGGCAACCCTGCCGGTGACCAACCACTAGAGCTCCAGCGACGAGTCATCGGAGCTCAGGTGAACTATCACCGGAACTCCGGTGACTATTCTTTTTTAGCTAGTGATTATATTTATTTTTAAACTCTAATGACATGTTACTGGAACTCTGGTGACTAGTTACCAGAGCTCCGGTGACTAGTTACCAGAGCTCTGGTGACTACTATTTCTTATGTATTAACTACTCTTTTTTAGCTACTGATTACATTTACTTTTAAACTCTGATGACTACTTCTGTTAAGCTACTGACTACTTTAATAATGCGATTTTCTACTCTTGTGTAGTCAATAGCTATATAAAAGTGGTCACTGGAACTTTGAAAACAAAAGTAGTCAATAGTTAAAATAAAGTAGTCAATAGCTATATGGAACTAATCACCGACAGTAAGGACAATGTTGTCATTTTATAAAATTTGAAAATTCCAAAATGGTACCTGGAGCTTGAATTGAGATTTTAAAATTTACCTACCCTAATTTGTCATTTAGTAATTTTAAGGGCATTTTACTGTTTTTTTTCCCCAATTTTATATATGTGTTAGAGACAACATATATTTATATATAGTAATATATATATATAGGGTTAATATAAATTTTGACCCTTCAAGTTTATCCTAATTTTAATTTGGTCTATCAGGTTTTTTCATTCAAAATATTAGTTCTTATAATCCAATAAAAATTTCAACCATCTTATCCCTTAAAGAATCAAAACTTATAGTTTGACACTTGAGGAACTAAAACTAAAATGAAAATAAACTTGAAAATCTAAAGATTATATTTCATAATCATTAGATATAAGCGTGGGGAATAAGAAAATTATTGTTATCATAGCCATAAGTGTGCAAAAATGAATTGATGTGATAATTAAGTAGGATTTGGATGCTCGTTTGGCTCTAAAAAATCACGTTGAAAACTAAATCATACATACGCGCACGCGCGCACACATGCATGTGTGTGTGCAAGTGTCTATTGGGTTCCTTAAACCACATTTGGTGTTACGCATGGAGGTCAAATGACTTTTTAACTAAGGGTCTATTTGGATGACAAGGGAAACCATGGTTTGGAAAGTTAAACCATGGTTTGCACCTAAAATCATTCAAACAGGCAGTGCTTTAGGCGAAACCTTGGTCCAGGTTGAAACCATGGTTTCATAAGAAGCAACAATTTTTCTCTTCTGGCAGAAATAATTGAAGGCATAAAGCATTGACCCAAAATACCCTTCTTGGCCGACATTTTGACTGGTTCTCTTCACTCTGCTCGCGCATTTCAATCACTTAGCTCGCGTCTCTCTGCTCACCGCTTCGCTCTTGTCGTTGGTGCGAGGAATTTCGCCGTCGCTCTTCACATCTCGCGGTCGCTCTTACTCGGTAAAGACTTCTGGCTCTGGCACTTCGTTCCGTGATGGAGATGCCAACCAGGGCTTAGCATTTAATAGGCTGGGACGAAGAAAGGAGGATGACAGGGCAAAAGCACGTGTGGGTTATTACTCGCTTTTATCACCAAAGAAACAAAAAGAGGATTTGAAAAGAGAAACGAATGGGCATGCAGCCACCTTTATATTCCTTTTGCTGGTAAAAGGACAAATTACCCATGCTTCTGCAATAGTTAACCCCAGGGATTCACCTTTATATTAATTATTTATTAATTATATTATCTTATAAATTAATTATGTGAGTAAAAATTATTTCATTAATAATCTTATTTCTTCAAATCAAAATATATTATAAAAATATCCCTTATATAATTATTAAGTGAACTTATACCCTTTTTGGTAATTTCCATATATAAAAAGTGCTTCTGGTAATAACTATCCAAACACTATCACTTCTCAGAATTACTTTTTCACAAAATCTATTCTCCACAAAGTCTATTTTTTCCAGAATCTATTCTTCAAACTATGGTTTTTACCAACATAATTATCATTGGTAAATATATAAACATATTAATCTTATATCTTATAAATATATATACACATATTAATTATTTATTAATTATATTATCTTATGTATTATTAATTATGTTGGTAAAATATATATTATTAACAATTTTATTCCTTCAAATTAAAATATATCATAAAATCTATCTTTTATGTGATTATCATATTAACTTCTTCTTTTTTAATACTTTGTATATATAAAAAATGCTTATGATAATAACTATCCAAACATTCTCACTTCTCAGAATCACTTTTTCACAAAATCTATTCTTCACAAAATTTGTTCTGTCCAGAATCTATTCTCCAAAAGCTATTCTCCAAACCATGGTTTGGTTTCATCTAAACACCCCCTGGGTGTTTGGCAAGTCCGGGACCCAAACCATGGTTTGGATCCCAAAACCATGATTTTCTATGTTATCCAAACAGGTCCTACAAAGTAATTTAAAATCAAAGCAGGTTTTTAAAGCTTTGGAAAGCAACTTTTGTTATTTGAAATTGACTTTTTAATACTCCTCCGTTCTAAAACCTAAGTAAAAAAATTAATATTAGTTTTATATATAAGATTTATTTTATATGTTTATCAATATTCTTTAAATTAATACTATTTATATTCTCTAACAATGATCAAGTAGGAGGGGGAGGGAATTAAAAAATATACTTAGTATGTTTTAGAAAAATAATATACGAGTATCATATTAACTAATATAAGTAACATATTTTATTTACTCAAATTATTTAATTATATCTTATATTAAGGACGGGAAGAATATATTATTTAAATGCATTTCTATCAAGTTGGTAAATCCTTATTTTTTTAATGTCAAATTTAATTTACAACATACAATTATAATAACGATTATTTTTCCAAATATTAATCCAAACAATCCCTTAACATATCACAATAATTTATTTGTTATAGGCATAAACGAAACATATGCGTTGTAAACATTTTTGTTTGAATCAAAGTATGATTAAAAATGAAAGGTTTATTGTTATGTAATAAAACATTCATATCTTTTGGCCCAAAAAACAAACATTCATATCAATTTTATATAATTATTTACTAGTAAAACTTGCAATAGTTAAAAAAATAACACTACCTCCGATCCTAATTATAAAAATTAGTTGACTAATTTGAGGAGATTAAAGAAAGAAGTTAAATTAGTTATTTGTAATAAATGGGTGTTGTCTTTTCTAAAATATCCTTGTTAAGCAAATATATTAGTTAGAACTATTATTGTTAGAAGGACTATTTTGAAAAAAAATTCATAAATATAAGAGAAAAAATAGATTAGGGTCTTATATTTAGGATCAAAATAAAAGTTAAATAAAGTCTTATATTAAGGACCAGAGATAGTAATAAAGAAACCTATGATTTTGAAGGACTAACTCAGAAGAATGCGCTGAAAGGACGTACATGCAAAGACCTTCCATTTTGGTGGGGTAATATGATAATATGTCCAATTTTATTTACCTGTCAATAGAGATGGAAATAGACCAAGTGGCCTCACTGGAGCCTGTGGCCTAACTTATTATAAAGAAGAAGTAGGCTTAGGTCTTTTTAGAGGCCTATTTATCTTATCAAGACCGACCCAAGCTGTCTGGTAAGCCTATTAAGCCTGTTAGGTGGTTTGAGCTTGTTAATTTTTTGTAAGTATGGTAAATTTGTAATTTATCCTATGTAATCAGATGTGGGAATACGGGCGGGCCCTGCAGGGCAGGTGGGTTTAAAAGGATCGGTTTTACAAGGCCAAAATTTTAAAAATACCCCAATTTGTTAGGCTTGACCCTTAAGCTAATGGGCTCAGGGTCGGCCTGCAGGCTTTTGACCCGTTTAAGAAAAATGATATTTTTCATATTTCTCATATTTTTATCCAAAAATAAAAAAACTAATAAAATTATTAATAAAAGAAATAAATAAGAATAAAATTAAGTTACAAATACAAAATATCATCATATATAAATATTTATCAACATCCAAGATCATTTAAAACATTCATTAACAAGATAATAACATTCAAAAGTTTGATTATAACGCAAATGTGCAATAAACAAACATTATCATTAATATATCAGCAAAAAAAAACACTAGCATTAATTTTTGGAAACTTATCATCACTATAATCAATTATTCTTCTTAATAAGTATGCTTTTCTTTCATAACAAAAATATCAAAATTTTCTTCTTTATAAGAACTTCACTTTTAAATTTTACAGTCTAGGTATTATTTTACTTTAGTTTGAGAAACATTGTTGTTGAAACTTATAAATTTCTAATTCAAATTACAGAACCACAAGTTATATAAATATAAAAATACTCTTTTATCAAATATATATATAGCTTAAAAATATCAATACATATAATATAAATTAAATTATTATTAAAATCCAAATTAACCTATTTTTTAAAAATTTAATTGGACAAATTATTATCTAAAACTAAATAAATCAAAGTATTTCTTAAAATTTAATTTTAAAATGATAATAATAACTAAATATTTGAAATATCATTAACAATATAAAAAATTAATAATATTAGAATTATTTAAAAAAAGTATTAAAAAAAATGTAAACAAACCGATCCGTTTAACACAGGAGCCTACGGCCCAATCCATGGCCTATTTTGTAGGAAAAAAATTGAAGTCCGGCTACCTTTGTCAGAGTTTAACCTAGCCGCAGCCGCTCTTTCTTTCTCTTCACTTCATCGCTCTTCGGTCTTCATCCTTGGGTCCTTCACGCAGTGTTCAGCTTGAATCACACTCTGCCCTTTGCTTCATCGCTTCTATCGACTATCGTGCTCTGCCTTTGCTCATCGAATCGCCAAATCCGAACTCCATTTGTCGCGAATCACCGTCTCTGAATTTCATTTGTCGTCGACTGGCTGTCTCCAACCTCCATTCTCAGGTATTTTGAAGCACTGTGACTCGTTTTCATATATATGTGTGTGTGTGTGTGTGTGTGTGTGTGTGTGTGTGTGTAGTGTCGTGACTCCCACTTCACCCTTCAGAATCTGATCTGTCTATTGAAGACTGAGAATCTGATCTCATATATATATTTTATATTTGTTCCATTTTCGGCTATCAAGTCGATCTCTTCCTGTTATCTTCTGGCACATGGATTATCATATTGTAATAACTTTGATTTTATTTTACTCATTTTGCCTGTACGTAGTTTGCTTTCTCCCGATTCCTCCACATTTCTTGCTGAGACGTTTATTGTGGTGCTCACTCTGCCTCTTTGAGCTTAGTCAACCAATTAGATTGAGATGTTTATTCTGATTCTTACTGCACACTCTAAATCTTGTGAGTGGAATTTCGAGTATTGCTCTAAATTCTCTGGTTTTGCCAAAAAGTATACGCAAATTTGGACAGGTGATGTGCAGATGTTCCAAACCATTGTTCAAGTTCCGAAGGTTAAAAGTCCTGTTTGGGTGATTTGAGAAGTCTCTCTTTTCCTGAGACTATGTTAAGGCCGAGCCTTATATTCTAGTACTGTATTTGACTTTTTAAACAATATTATGAGATTTGGGCATTGCCTTTTGTTTAGGTAATACTTTCGTACAATCCCTGGGTCGACGAATTGAGAAAATTCGTTTCATCCTCCCTTGGTTCATGCCTGGAAAAGAGAACGGAGGTCCATAACCATCACCTTTGTGTTACATACTAACGTTTTGAAATGAAGTACCCCAATCCCCCTATTCAAATATTAAAGTGGGATGAATGAACCTGTCAAACCGATGCAGGCTCAGGTCGCTAGAATCACCTCTGCTACCCATGCTACTGTGAGCTGTTGCTGGACGATTTCCCTATTTTCCTGCACCACCTTGTCAATTTTGCTGTTATTGTCGACCACGGCGGGGGCGTTTTTTCGTACACCTCTGTGCTCCTCAAGTTCTCTGTCTTGGTTATTGGGCAATTGCCTTATCATCGTTTTTGCCTGGTTGGTGACTTTTTACTGGGTGAATGCATTTTTTTTTAAATTGATTTTGGCCAATTGATTTTGGTTTGGCACTTTGGCTTGGGAAAGATCTCTCTCTTTCAGTTTCTTTATTAACTCCTTTATTGTTATTCCTTGGCATGCTAGAAAAGCCTTAGGCTTGCTAGATTGTACTGGAATGGTCATGAGAAGTTAGTGTTCGATCGAAGACCGGGAAGGAAAGAGGGGTGCTTTTAACGATCCAGAGGTAGAGCAGCATATAAAGTCGAGATCTTTGATTGGAAATGATCATGAAATTACGAGTTCTGAAAAGTAGAAATTGTCAAAAGCCAATATGATTTCAATGAGACTTAACAATAATAAATAATCGAGTACAATCTTAATTCTTAAGTATATCATATGCCAAAGTGGAGAACTCTAGAGATGAGGCTGAGGTTTCAGGATTTTGCTGAGAAAAAAATGGGAATAGGTGAAATCCTCAAACACGGGAATGGTAAAAATGGGGAAAGCATTTTAACATGAAGACTTTGAGGTAGGTATTAGGGGTTGAGGTGGCTGGGTCGAAAGGGACTCAATTTAACAAGGTCTTCAGCTTAACCTCAAACCTTTTTTCATGTTAGGAGAGTTACCTCTCATTTTGAGAAGTGATATAGAAATACCTGCTTGAGAACAACTTAGGCAAATCACAACATAGAAAGAAATGGTTGTCATTTTAATCTTAGGAAGAGCAACTGTTTTCGCCAAAGTCAAAATCGTTTTTGCAGTGAAATATCATTAAACTCCTAGCTTTGGGCTTGAGCTGCTTGACTCTAAAGTGTCAAAGAAAATAACCGTTTTACTGTAAAATACTTTAAAATGTATTCTTAGGAATTAATGGACACACATGCATATTTTTGGCATATCGTAATTCCTATGGCCCTAGAAAAAATGATTTAACAAATGCCAAGTATTTTGAGGAAATTTTCAAATATTTATTGGTAATTAATATCTATATATCGATATTTAAAGTATGCATCTGACTTTATAATACACATGGTCATGCTCACTCTTGTTTTTCAGTTTTGCATTTTGCCATTTCATTGTGGCTATGTCATGTCCCGAGCCTGAGTTTGTCAAATAACATTCTTGGTAATATAGTTATTGTTTATTCATGACATGATATTTTCTTGTTGTCTGTTCATTCAACTATAATCTATTGGGAGCATCTGAAAAGTGCTTTTGAAACCAAAATCAATTTCAGGGCATGGTTAATGGATGCTTTATGTCATTGATATTATTTTTAGTAAGGATGATTCGGACAATGATATGAAAAATGATCATCCATGGAACTTTCTTAAGCCACAGCTAATATTGCATCCCTGCCTTCCATAGATTACTGCAGGCATTTATGGACCATATTTTCCATTTCCTTACATTTTGCCTTACTGGCTGAAGGGAGGAAAAAGGAATAACTTTCACCATGTTGACTAAAAGTCTAGCTTCTCCTCTTCATGGATTAAGTTTCCATATGCTGCTACTTGGATTTGTGTCGTTACAGTCTTAGGGTCTCAAATGTGATTTCACTGATGGAGTTTGGGTGTATGACGAATCAATAATTGTATCTATGATCTTCTTATCTCTCTTGTACACGTCTGCTCTCTTATATCTGTTTTTTACAGTCTGATTTGATTGGAATTTTTTTTTTGGTATTCAGCTACTTTAAAATTGATGGATACCAATAACTGGAGACCTACTCAAGGCACTGAACCGCCGATGGATACAAGTGATTGGAGGGCTCAACTACAACCTGATTCACGCCAGAGAATTGTCAACAAAATGTATTTTTCAGTTCTAATATTCTATTGCTAAGTTGAATTGAATTAGTTTTTTCCTTCTTTCACATGCCAAACATGGTTATTGATCGTGTCACTCATGTAGTCGAAGCGTTCCAAAAGGCTATAGTGTGAAACCCACAGCGTTGTGAGAGCATTGTCATGTAGTCTGCTGTTCTTAAAAAATTCATGATGTAACATAGTCGATAAAGACCACAAACTCAATAAAAAGAAAAGTTTAATAATAATGATAATAGTAATAATAATAAAAAATGACAACATCACATACTCAAACCATAAAATACACTATGTTTAATAATTTTATGAGGCTGACTTTGTCTTTTGATATCTTAATTCTAAACCTATTCCTCTTTATCAAATTGATTATCACAACAATGATCAGTAGGTAATTGCTTAATTTTCTTTTCATCTTTCAAGGTTTTTGTAACCTCATCAACCATATCAAAGACACCAGAAGTGGATGTTATTGCCGTCTTTGTCATTTATGTGGATATGGATGATGATCAAATACATTTTGTTGGTTCCTTAGCTCCTTGAGCTAAAGCTACATCATTCATGAGCTATAACACATTATTAATGTCTATGACATAAAAAGGAATAATAAAAATTAAATGATTGATTCCATAAATAGACAACATTTTCATGAGGTTCCTTGTGTTGCCCATGTGGAAATAAATTTAAGAAAAATAAATAAATGTGAGGTGGAAGAACTAATATACACGTGTTGGAACTTTGTTTAATTGTCTAATTCATATAAAGCTAGTGCTTGAATGAACAATAAAATAACTTTCTCATCCTTTTCCCCCCAAACCTACGATTTCTCTGTGGCCCAATTCTTCCTAACCAGTGTTGTCCAATTTCTCTTGGGGTTGTCCTACAAAGTGGAGGCACTTCCTTTATCATTATTTTACAGCTTTGTAAGGAAGAGGGTGATATGTTATTATAAATAAGAAAAGAATTGAGAATTAGTTACTGTTATAGTTAGTCAGGATTCAAATGATATTAGCAGGATTTAATATTATGCCAATCTTAGTAGGATTTAGATAGGATTTGGATATATTAGGATAGCTCCTAAGAAGTGAATAATGTCTATAAATGAGAGGGAGTAGTGTACATGATTTTCAATCTTGATTCTAATAAGATTTTCTGTGTTGTGTTGGAAGCATTAGATGTATTGTTTGGAGGATAATTCTGTTGTCTTCAAAATGAAAAGACTCTATTTGGCTAGTTCTTGTCTTTTTCCTGGGATTTCTCATGCATGGGCTGTTATAGACATTGAGTAGAAAAGAATGATTGAAATATTTTATTTCCTTCCATTTGTAGAATGGAAACATTGAAAAGGCATCTTCCTATTTCTGGTGAAGAGGGATTACATGAGCTTCGAAAGATTGCTCAAAGGTTTGAAGAGAAGATTTATACTGCTGCGACAAGCCAGGTAAATTCACAACGAGGAGTATCGCTGATACCCTTCCATTAACGTTTATCTTTGCAAACAGGCATATATACAAGATTGATGATATTATATGTTACTCACATATTGCAGCCCGATTATCTGCGGAAAATATCTTTGAAGATGCTTACAATGGAGAATAAATCCCAGAATAACATGAACAACCCCGTGCCATCAAACCAAGGTGGCCCTAGCAATCAACCTCCCGATGCAGGTTAGGTTCCAAGGCCTTGGCTTGGGTATGGTATCATTCAGTGGTCGAAAGCCTATATATAGACATGCATGTGCATATATCAAGGCATTCAAATAGATTTTTCCATTTTGTTCTCTTAGTAATCATGGCTGTTTGAGCTTTGTCATTGTTTTTTCAATTATAGTCCTTCGTGCGTGTGCAATTCTAGACCTTAAGTAAAAGTGATAGTGGATGTGATCAATGATAACTTGCCCACGTGGAGACAAATCTATTAGCTTTATGGTTTATATGTAGAGATTCTTTGTGTACTATTGTCCAAGATATCATTAATAGATGGTGTTTTGTCTTTATTAGCTCTACACGAAATCCTTGTCCTTTCTCTTTGTTTAATTTTCCATTATTTACTTAAAACTTTACATTGTTGAAACTTAAAAGTTTACGCTTACTTCATTTAAGCATTGTTGAAATTTGAATGCTTTTCTTTTCTGGATTTTTTTTTTTATTGATTTGATTCATTTTCATTATATATTTAGGTAGCTATATTTGAAATTGAATCCTCTACAGGCATGAAATCATATAGTTGGAGAGTGAGTGACAAAAAATGGTGGAAGCTTGTGCGGGATTCACTTTCTCTCTTTACACCCATGATCTCTTTTCTCTGTGTCTATCTTTAATTGCACTATATGCAGAGGACTTAGGTGGTCAAATATTTGAACAGGATTCATGCAGCCTCAAGTTCAAAATCCAGGGCAGTCACATCCAATGCCTATGCCTCATCAACCTCAATCACGGCAACAGATTCTACCTCAAAATAACATCGTACCTCAATCTAATCTGTCATCTGCAGCCACTATAGGCCAGACTTCTATGCAGAGCCTTGGCCAGAATTCCAATATGCAGAACATGCCTGGACAGAATTTAGTGGGAACCACTGTTAGCCAGAATTCTAACTTGCAGAATATGTTTACTAGTTCCCAGACACAAATGCCAGGAAGGCAGCAGGTTGTTGGCCAACAGCAACCACAGAATCCGCAGCAGTATCTTTACCAGCAGCAGCAGCTTTTGAAGCATAAGCTCCCACACGCACACTCACTCATGCAAATGCAGCAGCCGCAGCAGCAGCAGCAGCAGCTGCAGCCACAACAGCAGCAACCTCAGCCACAGCAGAATCTTCTGCAACCGAATCAGTTGCAGTCTAATCAGCAATCCGTTATGCAAACGTCATCTGTCATGCAGCCTTCCATGATGCAAACTCCTTTACCTGGCCTTCAGCAGAATCAACAATCTAATAATGTTCAATCGTCAACACAATCCATGCTTCAGCAGCATCCCCAGTCTGTTATGAGGCAGCAACAGAATTCTGTTGTTCACCAGCAACAAGCACCAATAAGCCAACAGCCAATATTGCCTTCGCAGCAGCAGCAGCAGCTTATGGGGCAACAGTCAAATGCAACAAACCTGCAACACAGTCTGCTACTTGGGCAACAAGGTGGTGTTGGTGATATGCAGCAACAACAGAGGTTGATTGGACAGCAAAATAATATTACAAATCTGCAGCAGCACCAGCAACCACAACAGTTAATTAATTATCAAAACAGTCTCTCAAATATGCATCAACAGTTGGCAAGTAATTTCCCCGGGCTGCAGCAGCAGCAGTTGCTTGGACCTCACTCGGGCAACTCTGGCTTACAAACTACTCAGCACTCTGCACACATGTTGCAACAGCCAAAGGTTCCAATGCAGCAACAGTCACAACAAAATACATCAAAGTTGTTACCATCTCAAGTGCAGCAACAACAGCCACAGGCTTCACAGCAGCAAATGATGTCCCAGATTCAATCTCATCCTGCGCAGATGCAACAGCAATTGGGTTTGCAGCAGCAGCCAAATTCCTTGCCGCGAGATATGCAGCAAAGGCTTCAATCATCTGGCCCCTTAGTTCAACAGCAAAATGTACTTGATCAACAAAAACAGTTGTTTCAATCACAAAGAGCCCTTCCAGAAACATCATCAAGTATATATTTCCGTCTATGCTTTTCTTTCTGTCTCTTATGTTTGTATATCTTTCTTTTGGTGAAATAGTTTTTGTGTATCTCTACTTCTGTTGTTATATCTGTATATCAATGTCTATTTTAAGCAAGTTTTCTATCTGTCTTCTTTGCTGTACTTGAACTTCGAAACTTTACTTTTTGTGCTTCTCCTGCTCTTCAAATCATGAGAACCATCTTATTTCAAAACAAGATGGGAGATGTCTTCCTTAAAATTTGTTGAGTCATGTTTCCACTGTGGATATTGTGATGCTTGCACGTCTTATTACTGTAATTATTGTGATTGATGGTAGTCTGTTCATTTTCCTTAAATAAAATATACGAAATAACTTATTATTTTACTTTATTTATTTGAGCCTTAATGTTCGTGTGTGTATCATAATCTCTGTTGTAGCTTCCCTGGATTCAACAGCACAGACTGGACAATCAAGCGGGGGTGATTGGCGAGAAGAAGTGTACCAAAGGGTGAATATGCCAATTTCTTTTTCTTTGTTTTTTTTTTTTGGTCTCACTGATGTTGGCTGGAACGATAGAAATTTGTTGATTGAACCCCAAAATAAAAGTGAGAAAAGTTCCTTTTTATATCGATGTACTGAATTGTAGCATGAGCTCATGGGCCTTGTGGGAAAGGGAAAGTTATGGAAACTTCTATGCTCATTTCTGATGTTCTTAATTCATAGTTTACTTGGATTGAGGGGTTGCAACTTGACCTATGAAAATATCACGCCCATCTTATGATCTATTATCCTCATCAAGAAATACTCCTTGTAATCATTAATCTGATGATATATATTGATATGAATGTTATTTTTCTGTGCAAGCTTATGTTTTTAGTTGGTTGAAGTGACTTTGTTAGCAGTTAGGAACACGGGAATACTTTGGACATTCGCTTGACTTAAATGTAGAACTTGCATTTATGATCCTTTGCTAAATGAAAAAGAATTTGTTGCCATCCTGTCCATATTATGAATGCAACAAATGTTTGGTTGTCTGATTCTGTGGATCTCAACTTTCAGATCAAAATCATGAAAGAAACATACTTGCCAGAATTGAATGAAATGTACCAGAAAATTGCTGTTAAGCTTCAGCAGGTATGTTGAATATTGATTTCTTAAACATGAAATTGCCAACACCATGTATGGATATCTTTCTTTTGTTGGCACAGTAATGATGGATTGAGTTCTAGCATCTCTCATGTGCTGATTATCTATTGCAACTGTTGCTAAGCACTATCAATCCATTTCCTCTTCTGAAATTGCCTGTGAATTTGCTTGTCACTTAATATATATTTGCATTTCTATATCAGCATGAGTCCCTTCTACAACAACCAAAGACAGAGCAACTTAACAGGCTGAAGTTGTTTAAAACAATGGTGGAGCGTATTATAGCATTTCTACAAGTCCCCAAGAGCAACATTGTACCTGGTATGAAGGAAAAATTGGGTCTCTATGAGAAGCAGATTAGTAACTTTATAAGTTCTAATAGGCCCCGGAAACCTCTACAGCCGGGACAACTTCCCCCTCCTTCTATGCACTCTGTGTCACAGCCACAATCCCAACTTGCTCTGGTGCAATCTCATGAAAATCAAATGAACTCCCAGTTGCAACCAACAAATATTCAAGGTTCTGTAACAGCAATACCTCAGAATAACATGTCAAGTTTGCAGCACAATTCAATGTCTGGTGTGTCAACAGCACAGCAGAGTATGATGAATCCAATGCAACCTGGTGCCAGTTTAGATTCAGGGCAAGGAAGTCATTTAGACTCCCTGCAGCAGGTTCCAGCAAGCTCCCTTCAACAAAACACTGTCAGTGCACCCCAACAGAGTAACATATCGTCACAAGCTGGAGTAAATGTGACCCAATCAAACCTAAATTCCCTTCAGTCAAGTTCCAGTATGCTTCACCATCCACAACTGAAACAGAAACAGGTAATGACTAGGATTCTCCATCTGGAATCTGGATTGTGTATTAAAATTCTTCTAATAATCATGATGTTCCATTATATTGTAGGGTGTATAATACTTATAATTGCCAGGTAATGACTATGGCGGATTTTGGAAGACCAATTATTTAAAAAAATCTCGTTTGAAATGTAATTACGTGCAAATCTTCAAATACCATCGATAATATGAATTGTGGATGGACTGGATTCCCAGTTCAAGGTTATTCCAAATGACCTTGATAGAATCTTTTTGTAAATGAAGTCATTTTTCTTAATTTTCTTAATTTAGAGGTTCAAAAGGCAGTGTATGACTGGAGTTTTTAAGAGTAGCTTTATATCTATTGTCCTTGATTGCTGATCTAGACGACCTTAGGCATAAGGAACTTATGTGACGTATGCTGCAGGCTAATCATGCCCTATCGGAAGAGATAAGGGAGATTAATCAACGACTTATAGATACAGTTGTAGATATCAGTGATGAGGATGTTGATCCAACTGCTGCTGCTGTTTCTGGAGGGGCTGAGGGAACCGTTGTCAAGTGTCCTAACAGTGCTGTAGCTCTCAGTCCAAGCTTGAAATCACAATATGCTTCAGTGCAGATGGTAAGGGTTTAACTCCTAATTGCAAGAACTGTACATATTAACTTTTGCTTATTTTTTGTCTCGTGCAAACGTAACTGTGTTCACTCATGTTTTACCATGATGCAGTCACCAATTCAACCCCTGTGGTTGCTAGTTCCTGCAAATTATCCCAATGGTTCCCCCAAACTCTTGGACAAGTTTCTAGTTGAATCCTGGTGAGCAAACGTGCATTTTGGCATCTCTTGTTGATATTGTTGATATTGATCCAGAATCACAGTTTGTATCACTTATCATTCTCTTTTAACAGCAAGGAGAGAGAAGATTTGTCGGCGAAAGTGAAGTCAAGGTTTGGCATATCCCTGCGAAGCTTATTGCATGCTTTTAGTTTATGTTTCCTGACTTTATGTTGTTTCCTTTATCTTGTGTTTTGGGCTACTTGAATGGGGGATTCCTTCTCATTAACCAGGGTTATTTCGGTTATTTTGTATTGAAACATATATCCTCTTTAGTGATGTTTCAGATTTTCTTGGTCCTGATTTTCAAATAAGCTACTATGTTCCTGCGCTGAATTTATATTTCTCCCTCTCTTCTTTTTTTCCTCCGCCTATTCTTTAATATTCTTCATCAAGTAATGCAGCACCATTGTCTGATCCCACTGAAAAGTTCGATATCATGTGGCGGCCAAGTTCTCAATGTTTACTGGACCAGCAGTTTTTGTGTATGAAAATTTGTTAGATTTTTCTGAGTAATAAAATTCTTAATGGGTTTTATGTCCAATTTTTTTCATGACAATATTGAAGTGAATAAGTTGTGTTAGAGTTATGGTACCAGTCAATAAGGGCTCATTTAGATAACTTATAAACAGTTTTTTAATGGTGATTTACAAAATACGAGGTTAGTATGAGAGATGAGTCTTGTTTGGGTTTATGTTAAATGTGTTTACAAGTTATTCTAAACGTAATTTCAAAAGAAGTCTAAGTTGTATTACTATTGTCTTGCAAGTTGATATTGATACTTACCATCTAAGCCAAAAGTTGGAACGATGCAAGGTTCAATTTTAAAGTATCCTTTTTCGTTTGTGTTTTAGATTCTTCGGCTTGTTTTGTCCTTTTTGATAAACTGGGTATTAGATTCTTTAGGGCCCATAATTGAAAGTTGAAACCAACCTTGTTTGGCTTGAAATTAGATTGGTTGGACTTGAGAAAAGAAACTTGTGAAATTAATGACTTAAAGATGTTAGGTTAAATTGTAATATTAGATTTATTTTTAAGTTGTTCATCCATATAATAGAATAGTGGAAAAGTTACTCTTGAAGGTCTTACGAAACAACTCAAATTCACAAAAATACCTTAAATTTCATGTGATTTACCATTAACTTGAAAAACTCTCTCCCTCCTTATCGTCATCGAGGCTGGATTACTACCCTTGCTAATAAGAGTGGAAATAGGCCAGGTAACCTATGACTTGTGGCCTGGTCTGGTTTGATTTATTTAGATATAAAAAGAGAGTCAAACTTGTAAAAAAACTTGTTTATTTTTTCAGGCTAAGATTAGGTCTGATAATAAGCTTATTAGATCTGTCTGGTAGCTTGGAGTTTTTTTTTAGATTAAAATTATAAATGGACAGGAAGGAATTTGTTATTCTAATTGGTTACTTAAGAAAACTCAATCCATATCAATGTGTTATTTAGAGCTCATTGCATGCTTCATTTCATTTTCAATCTTTATAATAAAAATAATTGATGTATGTACAATGACACATATTTGAACAGAGAGAGAAAATATAAATGCATTAAAAAAAAGCATCATTCATTTATTTAATCTTATATACAATATACTACCTCCTGTTCTTAATATAAGACCTCGTTTAATTTTTATTTTGGTCCTAAATATAATATCCCAATCTATTTTGTCTTTCATATTTATATATATTTTTTCAAAGTAGTCCTTTTAACAACAATAGTTTTAGCACTTGATTAGTAAGGATATTTTATTAAAAACAATACTTATTTAGGACAAATAACTAAGTCAACTTACTTTCTTAATTTCCTCAAATTAGTTAACTAGCTCTTATAATGAGAACCGGAGGTAGCATATATAATTGACCTATTATGTTTTAGACTATATATATATGTGTGCGCGCGCGCGCTCAATCTAATTCTTATTATAATAGTTGCTTAATTAATTTAAATAAATAAATAAATTATAATAAATGTAACATTTTTTTTTAAAACAACCATTTGTAACAACAGGATTAAATATCATTTTGTTAGTAAATTAGTTTGAACAAATGATGAATTTAAAATATAAAAAGGATTAAGGACGTTTTATATTTTGAACTAGATCTAGTCATCAACTAATTTTTATACTTGAGATGGAACGAAGTGATATTTTTATACCAGAGTGAAATTATGTTTTCTAATAATTTTTCATATTTGATTTTTTTTTTTGCCTAAGAGAACACAATTTACAAATTGTGTTTTGAAAATTAAATATTTTTTTGTTTGTATTTTAGATAAATTGGATTGAATTATTGTAATTTTGAATTGATTTATGTGTATTTGAAATTTGTTAAAAAAAAAAGGCCTTTTAACAAGTCACAGGCTAAGCTCAACCAAACAAAAAGCCTTTCACAGGCTCAGGCCAACAGGCCTCACCATAGGCCGGGCCTGTTAAAGTGAGGTCTAACTTATTTCTACCCCTAGTTGCTAATGACCTGTTGCCAGATTTGTAAGAGGCTAACTACTCCAATAATAAGATAAATGCTATATTCAATTCTTAATATAAAAGCTAAATAATTAATTATAAATATTAAAAAATTAGTTTAAATTAACTATTTATAATAAATAGGATCTTATACTAAAAATAATATTAGCGAAGCGGCTTTAGTGGGACTTGAACCTTAGACCTGGTCACCAAAAGAACATATAATCATTGTCTTATGAAGAGTAATTGTCAAATTGCTATATTAAAGTTGTCAATTTTTGCTAGATAGTAAATAATAGTGGAATTGTCAATGTTAAAAAATTACTACCTCTAATCCTTAATATAAGAGTTAGTTAACTGGTTTGAGTAGATTAAGAAAACTTCTTGAGTTAATTATTTGTAATAAACATTTGTTGTCTTTCCTAAAAATATTTGCTAATCAAATGTATTAGTTAGAACTACTATTATTACAAGGGCTAGAAGAAAATAGATAAATATGAGAGAGAAAGTGGATTAGAATTTTATATTTATGATCAAAATATAAATAAGACAAGCCTTATATTAAGAACTGGAAGTAGTATGTAGTTATGGTATTTGTCAAATTTGTCACATTTCTGGTCCTTAATATAAAATATAATTATTGAGTTGATTTTAGTCTTCAATATAATAGTTATTTCTCATATTTATCAACTTTTTTATATGATCCCTATTGATATTCCCCCAATTATAATCAAGTAGAAGAGAAAAGAATGATATTAAGGAATATGATTATGGTATTTTAGAAAAAAACATGTCATATTTCTTATAATTAACTACTTCACCTAACTTTCTTAATATAATTAAATTAGTTAAATAAATCTTATATTAAGGAGTCAAAGACTATAATGTAGTGTAATTTTTTTTACATTGAAATTGTCTTCCTGCTCTTAAATAATTGTTAGTGGAGTTGTCCAGTTGACAGCTACCTGATCAAAATTAGTTATCAATTAACTATAAAAAGCTTTTAATTTCGATAGGAAAATTGTCAATAGAGTTCATCTTAAAATGAAAATATTCATTGACAATTTTTCTATCAAAATTTCGAAATTTATTACATATACAACAATTTGCATTATATTACTAAGTAGACTCAATGGCTCAATTATCACAAGTTACTTTTGGTAACCTAAAGGTCAAGACTCAAGCCCTGCCAGAGCTACTTTATTAATATCTACCTTGTCGGTAATCGGGTGGCTCCGGCGATTGGCAGGGGGTTCCGACATCGGTGGCAATGCGAAGGGGAAGAATTTTTCTAAGGGCATTTTGGTAGAACATGAACTTTAGTATGTTCTAGTGATTTCAAGGGACCTTTTCTTACCCTTGTTATTTTGGTCTCCCTCTTAGAGTTCAGTTTAGTTTCATATTCGATCTAATGATAATTTCAATTATATTTGTTTCTACGTAGGAAAAGGTAAATTAAATATTATATTTCTTTTTGCTAAGTAGCTAAGGACATATACAAGTGTCAATGTCAAGTTCAAATCTAGAACCTCATCCAAACATGACAAGTGACGTTACTATTAAGATAACTAGCTATTAATTCAAACATTATGGATTAAAAAACCATAAAAGAGGAGTCATTATCATTTTAAGTATGATAATGTCTAAATATAAATAAAAAATAAATATATTTGAATATGAATTAGTTAATACTACCTCCGGTCCTAATTATAAGAGCTAGTTGACTAATTTGAGGAAATTAAAAAAAAAAGTTAAGTTAGTTATTTGTAATAGTTATGTGTTGTCTTTATTAAAATATCCTTGCTAATCAAGGATATTGGTTAGAACTACCATTGTTAGAAGTGTTACTTTGAAAAAAAAAACATAAATATTAGAGACAAAGTGGATTAGGATCTTATATTTAGAACCAAAATTAAAATTAAACAAAGTCTTATATTAAAAACCAGAGGTAGTACTTAATATTATTGGATGCTAGATGATTATCACACAAAATGCATAGTTATATGGTAAATTTGGACTATTAAGATGAATCTCTTATGGATGTGTTTCCATGTATTTTACAAACCCACTTGATTCATTATCCATAACAAAGATACATATTTAAAAGAATAAAATGAAACTATTTAATTTATAGTGGACCCATTTTTGTAATGGCGTACAAAAAGGAATATCATTAATTGATATGGAATAACTCGTAATTTTATTATATATCAATGATTTTACGAAAATTAATTGATCATTGATGCTTCACCAATCAAATAGATTAATTTTGGAAATAGCAATCCAATACATGAATTCTCTTGGGTTGATGAATTGAGACCTAAAATTTCATATGAACCCAATTGATTTTGTGAGGGTTCACTAGCAATTTCATATTCATTATGTGGTACATAGTATACAAAATATTACTCCCTTTGTACTTAATACGGGACTTAATTATTGAGTTGATTTTGGTCTTAAACATAAGACCTATTTCTCATATTTATTAATTTTTCTTAAATTACCTTTATAGATACTCTATCAACTATAATCAAGTAGAAAGAGAAATAAGATATTAGAAAAATAATTATGGTGTTTCAGAAAAAACATGTATATTACAAAAATGAATTGATGTGATAATTAAGTAGGATTTGGATGCTCTTTTGGATTCCCTAAACCACGTTTGGTGTTACGCAGGGAGGTCAAAGTAGTAAGTTAAAATCAAAGCAGGTTTTTAAAGCTTTGGAAAGCAACTTTTGTTATTTGAAATTGACTTTTTAATACTCCTCCGTTCTAAAACCTAAGTAAAAAAATTAATATTAATTTTATATATAAGATTTATTTTATATGTTTATCAATATTCTTTAAATTAATCCTATTAATATCCTCTAACAATAATCAAGTAGGAAGGGAAGGGAATTAAAGAATATACTTAGTATGTTTTAGAAAAATAATATACGAGTATCATATTAACTAATATAAGTAACATATTTTGTTTACTCAAATTAGTTAGTTATATCTTATATTAAGCACAGGGGAATATATTATTTAAATGCATTTCTATCAAGTTGATAAATCCTTTTTTTTTACCTCAACTTTAATTTACAAAATACAATTATAATAAAGATTATTTTTTCAAACATTAATCCAAACAATCCCTTAATATATCACAATAATTTATTTGTTATAGGCATAAACGAAACACATGCGTTTTAAACATTTTTATTTGAATCAAAGTATGATGAAAAATGAATGGTTTATTGTTATGTAATAAAACATTCATATCTTTTGGTCCAAAAAAAAAACATTCATATCAATTTTATATAATTATGTACTGATAAAACTTGCAATAGTTAAAAAAATAACACTACCTCCAATCCTAATTATAAGAGCTAGTTGACTAATTTGAAGAGATTAAGTAAAGAATTTAAATTAGTTATTTGTAATAAATGGGTGTTGTCTTTTCTAAAATATCATTGCTAAGCAAGTGTATTAGTTAGAACTATTATTATTAGAAGGACTACTTTGAAAATAAATACATAAATATAAGAGATAAAGTGGACTAAGATCTTATATGTAGAATTAAAATAAAAGTTAAATAAGGTATTATATTAAAAACCGGAGGTAGTAATAAAGAAACCTATGATTTTGAAGGACTGGCTTAGAAGAATGCATTGAAAGGACGAACATCCAAAGACCTTCCATTTTGGTGGGGCAATATGATAATATGTCCAATTTTATTTACCAGTCAATAGGGTTGGAAATAGGCCAGGCAACTTGACAAGGGCCTATAGCCTAACCTATTATAAAGAAGAAGTAGGCTCAGGTCTTTTTAGAAGCCTATTTATCTTATCAAGCCAGACCCAGGCTGTTTGATAAGCCTATTAAGCCTATTAGGCGGCTTGAGCCTGTTAATTATTTGTAAGGATATAATGGTAAATTTGTAATTTATTCTATGTAATCAGATGTGGGAATATGGGTTGGCCCTGTAGAGTAGGTGGGTTTGAAAGGATTGGATCTACAAGGCCGAAATTTTAAAAATACCCTAATTTGTTGGCCCGACCCTTAAGCTAATGGGCTCAGGGTCGGCTTGGGGGCTTTCAGCCCGTTTAAGAAAAATGTTATTTTTCATATTTCTCATATTTTTGTCAAAAAAATAAACTAATAAAATTATTAATAAAAGACATAAATATGAATAAAATTAAATCACAAATACAAAATATCATCATATATAAATATCCATCAACATCTAAGATTATTTAAAACATTCATTAACAAGATAACAACATCTAAAAGTTTCATCTATAGTGCAAATGTGCAATAAACAAACATTAATATTAATCTTTTGAAACTTCATCATCACTATAATTAATTACTCTTCTTAATAAATATGTTTTTCTTTCATAACAAAAATATCAAAATTCTTTATAAGAATTTAACTTTTAAATTTTACAGTTTAACTATTATTTTACTTTATTTTGAGAAACATTATTGTTGAAACTCATAAATTTCTAATTCAATTATATAATCACAAGTTATATAAGTATAAAAATACTCTATTATCAAATATATATAGCTTAAAAATATCAACACATATAACATAAATTAAATCATTATTAAAGTCCAAATTAATCCATTTTTTAAAATTTAATTGAAAAAATTATTATCTAAAATTAAATAAATCAAATTATTTCTTAAAATTTAATTTTAAAATGATAATAATTAAATATTAGAAATATCATTAACAATATAAAAAATTAATAATATTAAAATTACATAAAAAAAAATTTTAAAAAAATTATGAAAAAACCTAAATAAACCGATCCGTTTGAGCCCTCGAGTCTACGGCCCAATCCAATCCATGGCCTATTTTCTAGGAAAAAAACTTGAAGTCCGGCTACCTTTGTGAGAGTTTAACCTAGCCGCAGCCGCTCTCTCTTTCTCTTCACTTCATCCTTCGGTCTTCATCCTTCGGTCCTTCACGCAGTGTTCAACTTGAATCACACTTTGCCCCTTTGCTTCATCGCTTCTATCGACTATCGTGCTCTGCCTTTGCTCATCGACTCGCCAAATCCGAACTCCATTTGTCGCGACTCACCGTCTCTGAATTTCATTTGTCGTCGACTGGCTGTCTCCAACCTCCATTCTCAGGTATTTGAAGCACTGTGACTCGTTTTCATATATATATATATATATATGTAGTGTCGTGACTCCCACTTCACCCTTCAGAATCTGATCTGTGTATTGAAGACTGAGAATCTGATCTGATATATATATATATACACATTTTATATTTGTTCCATTTTCTGCTATCAAGTCGATCTCTTCCTGTTATCTTCTGGCACATGGATTATCATATTGTAATAACTTTGATTTTATTTTACTCATTTTGCCTGTACGTAGTTTGCTTTCTCCCGATTCCTCCACATTTCTTGCTGAGACGTTTATTGCGGTGCTCACTCTGCCTCTTTGAGCTTAGTCAAGCAATTAGATTGAGATGTTTATTCTGATACTTACTGCACACTCTAAATCTTGTGAGTGGAATTTCGAGTATTGCTCTAAATTCTCTGGTTTTGCCAAAAAGTATACACAAATTTGGACAGGTGATGTGCAGATGTTCCAAACCATTGTTCAAGTTCCCAAGGTTGAAAGTCCTGGTTGGGTGATTTGAGGAGTTTCTCTTTTCCTGAGATTATGTTAAGGCCGAGCCTTATATTCTAGTACTGTATTTGACTTTTTAAACAATTTTATGAGATTTGGGCATTGCCTTTTGTTTATGTAACACAAAGGTGATGGACCCCCGTACATCAAATTTGTTACCATCTCAAGTGCAGCAACAACAGCCAGAGGCGTCACAGCAGCAAATGATGTTCCAGATTCAATCTCAGACTGCACAGATGCAACAGCAATTGGGTTTGCAGCAGCAGCCAAATTCCTTGCTGCGAGATATGCAGCAAAGGCTTCAATCATCTGGCCCCTTAGTTCAACAGCAAAATGTACTTGATCAACAAAAACAGTTGTTTCAATCACAAAGAGCCCTTCCAGAAACATCATCAAGTATATATTTCCGTCTATGCTTTTCTTTCTGTCTCTTATGTTTGTATATCTTTCTTTTGGTGAAAAAATGTTTGCGTATCTCTACTTCTGTTGTTATATCTGTATATCAATGTCTATTTTAAGCAATTTTTCTATCTATGTTTTCTTTGCTGTACTTGAACTTCGAAACTTTACTTTTTGTGCTTCTCCTGCTCTTCAAATCATGAGAACCATCTTATTTCAAAACAAGATTAGAGATGTCTTCCTTAAAATTTGTTAAGTCATGTTTCCACTGTGGATATTGTGATGCTTGCGCGTCTTATTACTGTAATTATTGTGATTGATGGTAGTCTGTTCATTTTCCTTAAATAAAATATACGAAATAACTTATTATTTTACTTTATTTATTTGAGCCTTAATGTTCGTGTGTGTATCATAATCTCTGTTGTAGCTTCCCTGGATTCAACAGCACAGACTGGACAATCAAGCGGGGGTGATTGGCGAGAAGAAGTGTACCAAAGGGTAAATATGCCTTTATTTTTTTGGTCTCACCGATGTTGGCTGGAACGATAGAAATTTGTTGATTGAACCCCAAAATAAAAGTGAGAAAAGTTCCTTAGTCTTTATATCGATGTACTGAATTGTAGCATGAGCTCATGGGCCTTGTGGGAAAGGGAAAGTTATGGAAACTTCTATGCTCATTTCTGATGTTCTTAATTCATACTTTACTTGGATTGAGGGGTTGCAACTTGGCCTATGAAAATATCACGCCCATTTTATGATCTATTATCCTCATCATGAAATACTCCTTGTAATCATTAATCTGATGATATATATTGATATGAATGTTATTTTTCTGTGCAAGCTTATGTTTTTAGTTGGTTAAAGTGACTTTGTTAGCAGTTAGGAACTCGGGAATACTTTGGGCATTCTCTTGACTTAAATGTAGAACTTGCATTTATGATCCTTTGCTAAATGAAAAAGAATTTGTTGCCATCCTGTCCATATTATGAATGCAACAAATGTTTGGTTGTCTGATTCTGTGGATCTCAACTTTCAGATCAAAATCATGAAAGAAACATACTTGCCAGAATTGAATGAAATGTACCAGAAAATTGCTGTTAAGCTTCAGCAGGTATGTTGAATATTGATTTCTTAAACATGAAATTGCCAACACCATGTATGGATATCTTTCTTTTGTTGGCAATTATGGCAGTAATGATGGATTGAGTTGTAGCATCTCTCATGTGCTGATTATCTATTGCAACTGTTGCTAAGCACTATCAATCCATTTCCTGTTCTGAAATTGCCTGTGAATTTGCTTGTAACTTAATAATGTATATTTGCATTTCTATATCAGCATGAGTCCCTTCTACAACAACCAAAGACAGAGCAACTTAACAGGCTGAAGTTGTTTAAAACAATGTTGGAGCGTGTTATAGCATTTCTACAAGTCCCCAAGAGCAACATTGTACCTGGTATGAAGGAAAATTTGGGTCTCTATGAGAAGCAGATTAGTAACTTTGTAAGTTCTAATAGGCCCCGGAAACCTCTACAGCCGGGACAACTTCCCCCTCCTTCTATGCACTCTGTGTCACAGCCACAATCCCAACTTGCTCTGGTGCAATCTCATGAAAATCAAATGAACTCCCAGTTGCAACCAACAAATATTCAAGGTTCTGTAACAGCAATACCTCAGAATAACATGTCAAGTTTGCAGCACAATTCAATGTCTGGTGTGTCAACAGCACAGCAGAGTATGATGAATCCGATGCAACCTGGTGCCAGTTTAGATTCAGGACAAGGAAGTTATTTATCCTTATGTGAAAAGTTCTCTAACCATCATATATATCCATGAACTATGAAGTTGTAAAATTTGTGTGTTATAGACAATGTAACTTATATGAGATTTTACGTGATGTACGTAACCAGGATCTAGTTTGCATAAAGAGTGCTTTGATTGTGGAATATTTATACATACACCTATATTTATACATGATAATATATATATATAGGGTTAATACAAAGTTCAGTCATCTACCTTCACTCTCATTTTAGTTTTGGTTTCTTAAATGTTTTTCATTTAAAATATTAGTCTCTATAATCTAATAAAAGTTTAGACTATTTTTCTTTTTGAAGAACCAAAACTTCTGATTTAAAATTTGATAGGCTAAAACCAAATAAATATAAACTTGAGGTGGGGGCCAAGGATTTGGATGCTTGTTTGGGTCTCAAAAATTACGTTGAAAACTAAAAAAAATATATAGACACATATATATATGTATGTATGTATGTATGTAGTATGGATTCGTTTTGGTGTTACGTTGGGCTGGTCAAATGACTTTTTGACTAAAAATTAAGTTAAAATCAAAGCAGGTTTTTAAGGCTTTCACTCGGCTCTAAAACCTAGTTAAAAAATTGAGGTTGGTTTTATATATAAGATTTATTTTATATGTTTATTAATATTTCTTAAATTAATTCTATTAATATTTTCTAACAATAATCAAGTAAGAAGGTGAGAGAATTAATAAATATATTTAGGATGTTTTAAAAAAACTAACTAATTTCACTAACATATTTTGTGTACTTAAATTAGTTAATTAGGTCTTAGTTAAAAAAATATATCATATTAACTAATTTAACTAACATATAGTTAATTAGGTCTTCTATTAAAGACATGAGTAATATATTATTTGAATGAATTTCTATCAAGTTGATAAATCTTTTTTTTTTTTACCTCAACTTTAATTTACAAAATACAATTATAATAAAGATTATTTTTTCAAACATTAATCCAAACAATCCCTTAATATATCAATAATTTATTTGTTAGAGACATAAAGGAAACATATGCATTCTAAACATTTTTATTTGAATCAAAGTATGATTAAAAATGAATGGTTTATTGTTATGTAGTAAAACATTCATATCAATTTTATATAATTATTTACTTATGAAACTTGAAATGGTTAAAAAAAACATAAAGAAACCTATGATTTTGAAGGATTGGCTCAGAAGAATGCGTTGAAAGGATTAACATGTAAAGACCTTCCATTTTGGTGGGGCAATATGACAATATGTCCAATTTTGTTTACCGATCACGTTATTTTCCCTGAAGCCTTTAAATTAATTCAATTTGCGCCACCTGACAACAAGCGCAGCCTTAATTTGCCCGCAAAATTTCAATCTAAGGTCCGACGTAGGCTCAGGTCGTTAGAATCACCTCCACCATCCATGCTGCCGTGAGCCGTTGCCCGACGATTTCCCTATTTTCCTTCGCCACCTGGTCAATTTCGCCGTCATCGTCGACCACGGCGGTGGCCTTTTTTCGTACACCTCTGTGCTCCTCAAGTTCTCTGTCTCGGTTATTGGGCAATTGCCTTATCATCGTTTTTTCCTGGTTGGTGACTTTTTACTGGATGAATGCATTTTTTAAAATTGATTTTGGCTAATTTATTTTGGTTTGGCACTTTGGCTTGTGAAAGATCTCTCTCTTTCAGTTTCTTTATTAACTTCTTTATTGTTATTCCTTGGCATGCTAGAAAAGCCTTAGGCTTGCTAGATTGTACTGGAATGGTCATGAGAAGTTAGTGTTCGATCGAAGACCGGGAAGGAAAGAGGGGTGCTTTTAACGATCCAGAGGTAGAGCAGCATATAAAATCGAGATCTTTGATTGGCAATGATCATGAAATTACGAGTTCTGAAAAGTAGAAATTGTCAAAAGCCAATATAATTTCAATGAGACTTAACAAAAATAAATAATTGAGAACAATCTTAATTCTTAATTATATTATACTCCAGAGTGGAGAACTCTAGAGAAGAGGCTAAGGTTTCAGGATTTGGGTGAGGAAAAAAATGGGAATAGGTGAAATCCTCAAACACGGGAATTGTAAAAATGGGGAAAGCATTTTAACATGAAGACTTTGAGTTAGGTATTAGGAGCTAAGGTGGCTGGGTCGAAAGGGACTCAGTTTAACAAGGTCTTCGGCTTAACCTTAAACCTTTTTTCATGTTAGGAGAGTTACCTCTCATTTTGAGAAGTGATATAGAAATACCTGCTTGAGAACAACTTAGGCAAATCACAACATAGAGAGAAATGGTTGTCATTTTAATCTTAGGAAGAGCAACTGTTTTCGCCAAAGTCAAAATCGTTTTTGCAGTGAAATATCATTGAACTCCTAGCTTTGGGAAAGTGTCAAAGAAAATAACTGTTTTACTGTAAAATGCGTACTTGAGACTAACCCTGTATATTAATGATCCAAGACTTTAAAATGTGTTCTTAGGAATTAATGGACACACATGCATATTTTTGGCATATCGTAATTCCTATTGCCCTAAAAAAAAATGATTTAACACATGCTAAGTATTTTGAGGAAATTTTTAAATATTTATTGGTAATTAATATCTATATATTGATATTTAAAGTATGCATTTGACTTTATAATACACATGGTCATGCTCACTCTTGTTTTTCAGTTTTGCATTTTGCCATTTCGTTGTGGCTATGTCATGTCCCGAGCCTGAGTTTGTCAAATAACATTATTGGTAATATAGTTATTGTTTATTCATGACATGATATTTTCTTTTTGTCTGTTCATTCAACTATAATCTAGTGGGAGCATCTGAAAAGTGCTTTTGAAACCAAAAACAATTTCAGGGCATGGTTAATGGATGCTTTATGTCATTGATATTATTTTTAGTAAGGATGATTCGGACAATGATATGATAAATGATTATTGTTTATGAACTTTAATATCATCGATGGAACTTTCTTAAGCCACAGCTAATATTGCATCTCTGCCTTCCATAGATTACTACAGGCATTTATTGACCATATTTTCCATTTCCTTACATTTTGCCTTACTGGCTGAAGGGAGGAAAAAGGAATGACTTTCACCATGGTGACTGACTAATGCTGCTAAGTCGTTACGGTCTCAAATGTGATTTCATTGATGTCTAATTTGGGCCTATGAAATAATCTTATCCATTATCTTCTTATCTCTCTTGTACACGTCTGCTCTCTTATATTTGTTTTTTATAATCTGATTTGATTGGAATTTGTTTTTTGGCATTCAGTTAGTTTAAATTTGATGGATACCAATAACTGGAGACCTACTCAAGGCACTGAACCACCTATGGATACAAGTGATTGGAGGGCTCAACTACAACCTGATTCACGCCAGAGAATTGTCAACAAAATGTACGTTTGAGTTCTAATATTCTATTGCTAAGTTGAATTGAATTAGTTTTTTCCTTTTTTCACATGCCAAACATGGTTATTGATCATGTCACTCATGTAGTCGAAGGGTTGCAAAATGCTATAGTGTGAAACCCACAACGTTGTGAGAGCATTGTCATGTAGTCTGCTGTTCTTAAAAAATTCATGATGTAACATAGTTGATAAAGACCACAAACTCAATAAAAAGAAAAGTTTAATAATAATGATAATAGTAATAATAATAAAAAATGACAACATCACATACTCAAACCACAAAATACACTATGTTTAATAATTTTATGAGGCTGACTTTGTCTTTTGATATCTTAATTCTAAACCTATTCCTCTTTATCAAATTGATTATCACAACAATGATCAGTAGGTAATTGCTTAACTTTCTTTTCATCTTTCAAGGTTTTTGTAACCTCATCAACCATATCAAAGACACCAGAAGTGGATGTTATTGCCGTCTTTGTCATTTATGTGGATATGGATGATGATCAAATACATTTTGTTGGTTCCTTAGCTCCTTGAGCTAAAGCTACATCATTCATGAGCTATAACACATTATTAATGTCTATGACATAAAAAGGAATAATAAAAATTAAATGATTGATTCCATAAATAGACAACATTTTCATGAGGTTCCTTGTGTTGCCCATGTGGAAATAAATTTAAGAAAAATAAATAAATGTGAGGTGGAAGAACTAATATACACATGTGTTGGAACTTTGTTTAATTGTCTGATTCATATAAAGCTAGTGCTTGAATGAACAATTAAATAACTTTCTCATCCTTTTCCCCCCAAACCTACGATTTCTCTGTGGCCCAATTCTTCCTAACCAGTGTTGTCCAATTGCTCTTGGGGTTGTCCTACAAAGTGGAGGCACTTCCTTTATCATTATTTTACAGCTTTGTAAGGAAGAGGGTGATATGTTATTATAAATAAGAAAAGAATTGAGAATTAGTTACTGTTATAGTTAGTCAGGATTTAAATGATATTAGCAGGACTTAATATTATGCCAATCTTAGTAGGATTTAGTTAGGATTTGGATAGACTAGGATAGCTCCTAAGAAGTGAATAATGTCTATAAATCAGGGGGAGTAGTGTACATGATTTTCAATATTGATTCTAATAAGATTTGCTTCTGTTTCTCACGACCTCTCTGCTTTCTTCTCTCTTTCTCTCTCAACTAAGTATCATAACAGTGGTACCAAAGCCAGGCTATCCTCAACCGTGGAACTCACTTCATTCCGAAATTCTAACGATAGCCACATGTGGCTAAGGCAGTGTGGCAGTGTTAAGGAATTCAATGACTTATTTCATGGTGCTATGAGTAATTTTAAGATGCCTGAAATGGTGCTGTGAGTAAATTTAAGATGCCTGAAAAGTATATGGTTATTACGTATCTACCTTGGTTGAAAGAAGAGCTTGCAGCATTTGTGATTGTAACTCAGTAATTAGGGTTTATTATTGGAAATTTGGTGTAATATCAGACTTAAGGATTTAATTGTTTGGCTTGTTGGCTGTGTTGTGTTGGAAGCATTAGATGTATTGTTTGGAGGATAATTCTGTTGTCTTCAAAATGAAAAGACTCTATTTGGCTAGTTCTTGTCTTTTTCCTGGGATTTCTCATGCATGGGCTGTTATAGACATTGAGTAGAAAAGAATGATTGAAATATTTTATTTCCTTCCATTTGTAGAATGGAAACATTGAAAAGGCATCTTCCAGTTTCTGGTCAAGAGGGATTACAGGAGCTTCGAATGATTGCTCAAAGGTTTGAAGAGAAGATTTATACTGCTGCGACAAGCCAGGTAAATTCACGAGCAGTATCGCTGATACCCTTACATTAATGTTTATCTTTGCAAACACGCGTATATACAAGACTGATGATATTATACGTTACTCACATATTGCAGCCCGATTATCTGCGGAAAATATCTTTGAAGATGCTTACAATGGAGACTAAATCCCAGAATAACATGAACAACCCCGTGCCATCAAACCAAGGTGGCCCTAGGAATCAACCTCCTGATGCAGGTTAGGCTCCAAGGCCTTGGCTTGGGTATGTACCATGAAGTGGTCGAAAGCCTATATATAGACATGCATGTGCATATATCAAGGCATTCAAATAGATTTTGCCATTTTGTTCTCTTAGTAATCATGGCTGTTTGAGCTTTGTCATTGTTTTTTTAATTATAGTCCTTCGTGCGTGTGCAATTCTAGACCTTAAGTAAAAGTGATAGTGGATGTGATCAATGATAACTTGCACACGTGGAGACAAATTTCTATTAGCTTTATGGTTTATATGTAGAGATTCTTTGTGTACTATTGTTCAAGATATCATTAATATATTGTGTTTTGTCTTTATTAGCTCTACACCAAATCCTTGTCCTTTCTCTTTGTTTAATTTTCTATTATTTACTTAAAACTTTACATTGTTGAAACTTAAAAGTTTACGCTTACTTCATTTAAGCATTGTTGAAATTTGAATGCTTTTCTTTTCTGGAGTATTTCTTTTTTTGATTGATTTGATTCATTGTCATTCAATATTTAGGTAGCTATATTTGAAATTGAATCCTCTACAGGCATGAAATCATATAGTTGGCGAGTGAGTAACAAAAAATGGTGGAAGCTTGTGCAGGATTCTCTTTCTCTCTTTACACCCATGATCTCTTTTCTCTGTATCTATCTTTAATTGCATTATATGCTGAGGACTTAGGTGGTCAAATATTTGAACAGGACTCATGCAGCCTCAAGTTCAAAATCCAGGGCAGTCACATCCAATGCCCATGCCTAATCAACCTCAATCACGTCAACAGATTCTATCTCAAAATATTCAAAATAACATCGCACCTCAATCTAATCTGTCATCTGCGGCCAATATAGGCCAGACTTCTATGCAGAACCTTGGCCAGAATTCCAATATGCAGAACATGCCTGGACAGAATTTAGTGGGGACCACTGTTAGCCAGAATTCTAACATGCAGAATATGTTTACTAGTTCCCAAAGACAAATGCCAGGAAGGCAGCAGGTTGTTGGCCAACAGCAACCACAGAATCCGCAGCAGTATCTTTATCAGCAGCAGCAGCTTTTGAAGCATAAGCTCCCACATGCACACTCACTCATGCAAATACAGCAGCCACAGCAGCAGCAGCTGCAGCCACAACCACAGCAACCTCAGCCGCAGCAGAATCTTCTGCAACCAAATCAGTTGCAGTCTAATCAGCAATCCATTATGCAAACGTCATCTGTCATGCAGCCTTCCATGATGCAAACTCCTTTATCTGGCCTTCAGCAGAATCAACAATCTAATAATGTTCAATCGTCAACACAATCCATGCTTCAGCAGCATCCCCAGTCTGTTATGAGGCAGCAACAGAATTCTGTTGTTCACCAGCAACAAGCACCAATAAGCCAACAGCCAATATTGCCTTCACAGCAGCAGCAGCAGCTTATGGGGCAACAGTCAAACGCAACAAACATGCAACACAGTCAGCTACTTGGGCAACAAGGTGGTGTTGGTGATATGCAGCAACAACAGAGGTTGATTGGACAGCAAAATAATATTACAAATCTGCAGCAGCACCAGCAACCACAACAGTTAATTAATCAGCAAAACAGTCTCTCAAATATGCATCAACAGTTGGGAAGTAACGTCCCTGGCCTGCAGCAGCCGCAATTGCTTGGACCTCACTCTGGCAACTCTGGCTTACAAAATACTCAGCACTCTGCACACATGTTGCAACAACCAAAGGTTCCAATGCAGCAACAGTCACAACAAAATACATCAAATTTGTTACCATCTCAAGTGCAGCAACAACAGCCACAGGCTTCACAGCAGCAAATGATGTCCCAGATTCAATCTCAGCCTGCACAGATGCAACAGCAATTGGGTTTGCAGCAGCAGCCAAATTCCCTGCAGCGAGATATGCAGCAAAGGCTTCAAGCATCTGGCCCTTTAGTTCAACAGCAAAATGTACTTGATCAACAAAAACAGCTGTATCAATCACAAAGAGCCCTTCCAGAAACATCATCAAGTATATATTTTCGTCTATGCTTTTCTTTCTGTCTCTTATGTTTGTATATCTTTCTTTTGGTGAAAAAGTGTTTGTGTATCTCTACTTCTGTTGTTATATCTGTATATCAATGTCTATTTTAAGCAATTTTTCTATCTCTGTCTTCTTTGCTGTACTTGAACTTCGAAACTTTACTTTTTGTGCTTCTCCTGCTCTTCAAATCATGAGAACCATCTTATTTCAAAACAAGATTAGAGATGTCTTCCTTAAAATTTGTTAAGCCATGTTTCCACTGTGGATATTGTGATGCTTGCACGTCTTATTACTGTAATTATTGTGATTGATGGTAGTCTGTTCATTTTCCTTAAATAAAATATAAGAAATAACTTATTATTTTAATTTATTTATTTGAGCCTTAATGTTCATGTGTGTGTATCATAATCTCTGTTGTAGCTTCCCTGGATTCAACAGCGCAGACTGGACAATCAAGCGGGGGTGATTGGCGAGAAGAAGTGTACCAAAGGGTAAATATGCCAATTTCTTTTTTTTTTTTGTCTCACCGATGTTGGCTGGAACGATAGAAATTTGTTGATTGAACCCCAAAATAAAAGTGAGAAAAGTTCCTTAGTTTTTATATCAATGTACTGAATTGTAGCATGAGCTCATGGGCCTTAGAGAAAGGGAAAGTTATGGAAACTCCTATGTTCATTTCTGATGTTCTTAATTCATAGTTTACTTGGATTGAGGGGCTGCAATTTGACCTATGAAAATATCTGTAATGCAGAAGAGGGAACTGATGCCTGCAACTGGAATTAAATTTTGTTTATCACGTCCATTTTATGATCTATTATTCTCATCAAGAAGCACTCCTTGTAATCATTAATCTGATGATATATATTGATATGAATGATATTTTTCCGTGCAAGCTTATGTTTTTAGTTGGTTAAAGTGACTTTGTTAGCAGTTAGGAACACAGGAATACTTTGGACATTCTCTTGAGTTAAATGTAAAACTTGCATTTATGATCCTTTGCTAAATGAAAAAGAATTTGTTGCCATCCTGTCCATATTATGAATGCAACAAATGTTTGTTTGTCTGATTCTGTGGATCTCAACTTTCAGATCAAAATCATGAAAGAAACATACTTGCCAGAATTGAATGAAATGTACCAGAAAATTGCTGTTAAGCTTCAGCAGGTATGTTGAATATTGATTTCTTAAACATGAAATTGCCAACACCATGTATGGATATCTTTCTTTTGTTGGCAATTATGACAGTAATAATGGATTGAGTTCTTGCATCTCTCAATGTGCTGATTATCTATTGCAACTGTTGCTAAGCACTATCAATCCATTTCCTCTTCTGAAATTGCCTGTGAATTTGCTTGTCACGTAATAATATATATTTGCATTTCTATATCAGCATGACTCCCCTCTACAACAACCAAAGTCAGAGCAACTTAACAGGCTGAAGATATTTAAAACAATGCTGGAGCGTCTTATAACATTTCTACAGGTCCCCAAGAGCAACATTGTACCTGGTATGAAGGAAAAATTGGGTTCCTATGAGAAGCAGATTATTAACTTTATAAGTTCTAATAGGCCCCGGAAACCTCTACAGCCGGGACAACTTCCCCCTCCTTCTATGCACTCTATGTCACAGCCACAATCCCAACTTGCTCAGGTGCAATCTCATGAAAATCAAATGAACTCCCAGTTGCAACCAAAAAATATTCAAGGTTCTGCAACAGCAATACCTCAGAATAACATGTCAAATTTGCAGCACAATTCAATGTCTGGTGTGTCAACAGCACAGCAGAGTATAATGAATCCCATGCAACCTGGTGCCAGTTTAGATTCAGGACAAGGAAATCATTTAAACTCCCCGCAGCAGGTTCCAGCAAGCTCCCTTCAACAAAACACTGTCAGTGCACCCCAACAGAGTAACATGAACCCTATATCATCACAAGCTGGAGTAAATGTGATCCAATCAAATCTAAATTCCCTTCAGTCAAGTTCCAGTATGCTTCAGCATCCACAAGTGAAACAGCAACAGGAACAGCAGATGTTGCAGACTCAGCATCTCAAACAAATGCAGCAGCGGCAATTGATGCAGAGGCAGCAGCTCCTGCAACACCAGCAACAATTACACCAACCAGCAAAGCAACAGCTGCATGCTCAATTGCAAACACACCAAATGCCACAGCCTCATCAAATGAATGATGTGAATGATATGAAGATAAGACCAGGAATGGGTGTTAAGTCAGGGGTCTTTCAGCAACATCTTTCCTCAGGCCAACGCCAATCTTATCCCCATCAGCAGTTGAAACAGGGAAGTACATTTCCTGTTTCTTCACCCCAACTCCCCCAGACTGCATCTCCTCAGATTTCACAGCATTCATCTCCCCAGATCGATCAGCAAAATCTTCTTCCACCTCTCACAAAAGTTTCGACCCCTCTGCAATCTGCTAACTCACCATTTGTGGTCCCGACTCCTTCACCTCCCTTGGCTCCATCTCCTATGCCTGTAGATTCAGAGAAACCCATCTCTGGTGTTTCATCAATAACAACAACTGCAAATCTTGGGCATCAACAAACGGGAGGTGCAGCAGCACCAGCTCAATCCCTTGCCATTGGGACTCCTGGTATATCAGCTTCTCCTTTGCTGGCAGAGTTTAGTGGTCCAGATGGTGCTCATGGCAATGCTTTAGCTTCCAGTTCTGGAAAGTCAACTGTTACAGAGCAGCCTATTGAACGCTTAATTAAAGCGGTTAGTTCAGCTGATTTTATTTTTGATTGATCTATTGGGAACTTTCTGTGAAGCATTAGACATGACAATTATTGGAACCAGACTTCTGGTCGTTGGTTCAGCTGTTAGGTGACTAATTGAAATAGTCAAACGGGTTCATATATATTCAAATTAATTTTATGATAAACCTATTCAGATTAATTTATATGCTTTAGATTTAAATGAAATGTTATGTAGCATTTTTTTTAAAAAGTAGTTCTATAGTTTTAAGTTATACATTTATGTATAATGTATTAATTTAATTCATTTTATCACCCAAAAGAATAATAATTTAATTCATTTAAATGACATAGAAGATAAATATAATCACAAGCTTTTTATTTATTTGTTAACTCCAAAAAGAAATTAAGACAGAATATGAAGCAATGTGAACAAACCTGTGGTTGCATTGCATGTATTCCCCGTGTCCTAAAACATCCATATGTGCGACGAATTTAAGCAAACCAAAAACAGAAAGGTAGTATCATTGTTATAACTCCCACATCAATGAAGTGAGGCCAAAAGAATGCCCCCACTTTACTATAAATTGCACCTCAAGTATGGTAAAAAGCCAGTAGGCAGTCTAGAGTGATTTGACTCTGACCAACCACTGAGTTCACTATTTAACCCCATCGGTTAATCAACCCGTTAGATAGGCTGGTTTATGAAAGTTAATCAAACAACCCATGGATTTCTTGACTTTTGACTGATTCAGTCATTCTGAACTGAACAAATATTTAAACTGGACAATACACCAGGTTATTGGTTCAACCAGCTAGTTCAGTCTGCATTCAAATAGAAAGTTTTCCTTTATTATTCTACTTCTATTGTAGTTGCATTAGAAAAATTTATGCGATTCCAGGTAAACTCAATGTCATCTAAAGCATTAAGTGCTGCGGTCAGTGATGTTGGCTCAGTTTTCAGCATGGTTGATAGAATAGCAGGATCAGCCCCAGGCAATGGATCCAGAGCTGCAGTTGGTGAGGATTTGGTTGCCATGACTAAATGTCGTCTTCAGGCTAGAAATGTAGTTAACCAAGATGGAACTAATGGAACCAAGAGGATGAGGCGATATACCACTGCCTTGCCTTTGAATGTTGCATCATCCGGTGGTAGCATGAATGATAGCATCAAGCAGTTTACTGCAGCAGAGGCTTCTGATCTGGAGTCAACTGCAACATCAATTATCAAGAATCCAAGGATTGAGGTACTAACTTATGTTCTATGACATCTTTGTAAATTGTCAGTTCTTCCCTTCTGGCTGAACATTAGATTTTATGAAAATGGGCACCTAAGCAGAGGATTATATTTTGTATTTAGATGTCAACTGCATGACTTTTCCCCTTTCTTTAGTCGAGATTGGAATGCACAATGGGGAGAGAGGGACAAGGGGTAAAGGAGTACCCAAAGGTGGTCTTATTAATTGATGCACACTTTTCATTTTATTGAACATATGTTATTTGCTACTGATAAACACAAAATCAAAGGGGGGAAAACCCCGGTATTATGTTCACCAAAAAAAAAAAAAAGAGTATTATGACTGGAACTTTTTGGAGAACCACCCCCCAAAATCTACCACCTGGTTAGAGAGCCTAACATCCACATAAACTCCATAGCTGAATATCATCGACTGTGGGACTCAAGTTTCGTACTTTGCCATTGGGTTCTAACATATTATCATTAAGTTAATTGAGACTTTGGTGCTGTTGTTAATGCCGTTAGTTAAGGATATGAGACTAGAATTAGAAGGGTTAGTTACCTATTTTATATGCAACATATTTTCAAACAATCCTTGCTGTCAAAGATTTAAATGCAATTTAATCAGGTAACAAAATGGTAAGAATGACAGCAAGCAATAAATAATAATAGCTGCAACAAATGATGACGGCAGTTGTAGTAGTGTTTAGTCGTTAGGCTGATGCGTTATCGGTTATTGCTTTGGTTGATAGCTTTTCTGATGTTTACCATTAACCTTTATCTACCACATTTAAGAACAATAATTAAGGTCACATGAGTTTGAAACCCCGTGTCTTGTGTAAGATCTTAGATAACTTCAGGCTGGAAATTGCCTGGAAATTCTGTTGGGTTTAGCATATGTAATGACTAGGATTCTCCATCTGGAATCTGGATTGTCTATTAAAATTCTTGTAATAAACATGATATTCTATTATATTGTAGGGTGTATAATAGTTATAATAGCCAGGTAATGACTATGGCGGTGTTTGGAAGACCAATTATTTAAAAAGATGTCGTTTGAAATGCAATTACGTACAAATCTTCAAATACCATCGATAATATGAACTGTGGATGGACTGGATTCTTAGTTCAAGGTTATTCCAAATAACTTTGATAGAATCTTTTTGTAAATGAAGTCATTTTTCTTAATTTAGAGGTTCAGAAGGCAGTATATGACTAGAGTTTTTAAGAGTAGCTTTATATCTATTGTCCTTGATTGCTGATCTAGACGACCTTACGCATAAGGAACTTATGTGACGTATGCTGCAGGCTAATCATGTCCTATTGGAAGAGATAAGGGAGATTAATCAACGACTTATAGATACAGTTGTAGGTATCAGTGATGAGGATGTTGATCCAACTGCTGCCGCTGCGCGCTGCTGTTTCTGGAGGGGCAGAAGGAACCGTTGTCAAGTGTTCTTACAGTGCTGTAGCTCTCAGTCCAAGCTTGAAATCACAATATGCTTCAGTGCAGATGGTAAGGGTTTAACTCCTAATTGCAAGAACTGTACATATTAACTTTTGCTTATTTTTTGTCTCATGGAAATGTAACTGTCTTCACTCATGTTTTGCAATGATGCAGTCACCAATTCAACCCCTGTGGTTGCTAGTTCCTGCAAATTACCCCAATTGTTCCCCCAAACTCTTAGACAAGTTTCCAGTTGAATCCTGGTGAGCAAATGTGCATTTTGGCATCTCTTGTTGATATTGATCCAGAATCACAAAGTTTATATCACTTGTCATTCTCTTTTAACAGCAAGGAGAGTGAAGATTTGTCAGCGAAAGTGAAGTCAAGGTTTGGCATATCCCTGCGAAGCTTATCGCAACCCATGTCGCTTGGTGAGATAGCGAGGACCTGGGATATTTGTGCTCGTACAGTTATTTCAGAGCATGCACAGCAGAGTGGTGGAGGGAGCTTCAGTTCTAAATATGGGACTTGGGAGAATTGCTTGAGCACTGCATAGTGATTGATCCAGGAAGATGATAAGTTCTTACGTACAGTCCTTCCATATACAGTTAGATGACTTTATCAAAGTAGGCTTGTAAATATTTGAGTTCTTATTAGCTCACTGTCCACCTAGTCAATACTTTATGTGCGTTTAATAAGTATTATCCTTGATAGACATGCAAACCCTTTTGGTTTACTGCCACAGAAATAGCCAAAGCTTTTGTTGGAATAACTGCAGAGCAGCTTATGCAGAAGAAGGCAGTTGAGAGAATAACATGGGATGTTTTCTTGGTCACTTGGAGTTGTTTTTAAATGTAGTTGAGATGGCATGCTTGTAAACTGGGTTTTGACGATTTCAATGGCTAAGTAGAAATTTCATTTGCCTGATATGGTTGCTTTATATCAGCGTCTTGAGTTAGCCAAGCACAAGATCTGTTAGCCAACGAGTTATTTTAACTATCTTATGCGAGAAAAATTCAAGTCGCATGAGGCTTTTAGGGACTCTTTAAATGTCTAGAATGGGAGAGTTCATTGAGCAGGTGACAACAGTCAATGACAACTGGGAGGATTCAGCCCCACCAGATAAGGGAAAGTTTGGTGCGTAATTGGTTTATTACTGCTTACGGTCCTAAACATAGAAGCTCAAAGCTAGATAAAGAATTTATTTTGATTCTAAATATAAGATTTCAGTTCATTTTTATCTCTTATATTTATAATCGTTTTTCTATCTTTATTGATTATATACAGTAAGGATATTTCTTCCAAACAGTAGTTATTGTGCACATGAATAGAAAAAATAATATAGACAAATCAACCAACATTTGTTAAAAATAACTAACATAACTAATTTTTTTATATTTATAAATTAATTATTTAACTCTCATATTAAGCATTAGAGGGAGTATAATACATCACAACAGGAATTTTTTATAAGCACATGTGGATTGAAAGCAATTTTACTTGAGATGCTATCAAACACTAAATACAAATAATTCTCTTATAATGGATTCCAATTTCCAACCTTAAAAGAAGCTAACAAAAGCAAACATGGATGATCTGATTAGTTCGTCAACCTCAATATGGACATGGACTTTAAGATTCCCCTAATCACTACAAGATGATTACATGATCCTCTTGATGTTTAACACTTATACTATTTCCAGCCTTTAATATAAGAGTTAGTTTGACTTTTATTTTAGTTCTAAATATAAAACCTCAATCCATTTTATCTCTCGTATTTATCTTTTTTTTTTTAAAGTAGTCCTTATAGTAATAATAATTCTAGCTAACACACTTGATTAGGGAGAATATTTTAAAAAAAATAACACATATTTATTACAAATAACTAATTTAACTAATTTTTTTAATTTACTCAAATTAGTCAACTAGCTCTTATATTAATAACTAAAGGTAGTATTACACGTCTTTATTTTGTACATGGTGTTAACCAAAAAAAAAATCTTCATGATAAATTGGATTTTATATTTAATGTAGAGTTGCCACGTGGGCAGGGGAGCCTTTTCCAATGCAAGAATTCATGCATTCGATTCCCCCATCTTGTTTCAAGCTTCATTGTAATTATTAATTAATCTTTGGATCAACCCTTATCCCATTACGTATCATATTATATATCTTATTATCTTATATAGGGACTCACCACCCATCATATCAAAACGGATCATATTATATCTTCATAGCCAATTATGTATCCCAAAACCGGACATATTTGAGTTATATAGATCATATGCTTAACTTAGTTTTGATAAAATTAATATATTTATCAGTTCATTGTTACCCCCAAAAAAAAAATTCTGAAAGTTATCCACTTTGTCTTTTCATTGAGGCTGTCACTATTTTAAAATTTAACACCTCATTCTGCATCTTTAATATTAATTAATAAATTTTAAAGCTGTCAATGCCCTTTTGGAACACTTTTTTGTCTTGAAGTGTTTAGGATATTTATATTCAAGAATGGCCGTAAAATATTCAAAGGTTCGCATCTTGAAGGATTGCAATTAGTAGCATATTTAGAAACTTCTAGTTATCTTTCAAAATCAAAATTGTTATAATTCTTAAGTGAATTTTTGAGAAAGTTACAACCAGAATCTAAAAAAAAATGCAGTAACTTCTTAGAATTTGATAATAAATTTTTAAAATATAAAAAAATATAATCTGCGGAAATAATTCATATTTTTTAAAAAATATTAACTTGAATTTTTTAAATTCTGGCTGTTATTTTCCCCAAAGAATATCAGGATAATTCACAGAAAGTTACCACTTTGGCATTTATACAAGAGAATGGATAGATTCACCAGGTGCAGCCAAACAGGGAAGTACACGTGGCATCGCGTATTGAATGCTTCGAATCTGAGGACGGCACGTTACGTCACCTTTTAACTTATTGATTAAATATCAAATGGCTCATCATATTGAACAAAAACCCTTTTATATTGTTTTAAATAAATAATAATAATATTTTTTAAGCACTCTGTCAGGCACTAAGAGCTCGCTTAGTATAAGAAAAATAAATGAGAGGGAGAAAAAGTTTTAATAAGGTGGATTTAGAAAATTAAAAAAGTGAAGTCGAAAGCTTTTAATTAATTTTTATTGTCTTTTAATTTTATATTTTCTATTAAAATTTTATAACCCTACTTCTATTATTTTTTAAATCGAACTTACTAAATTTTTTTCTCCTCCTTTTTCCCTTCTCCAACCAAATATAGGGTAAATATGAACACTCCTCCCAATTAAAAATTGAAAAATTGATTCACTATATTACATTACAAAAAATTAACTCTTTTCACTGAATTAGTATAGCAACAATAATATTCTTCTTACCAATAGAAAAGAAAGACATGACAGCCCACAATAAATCCAAACGATGGGCCGTCCATCGCCCAATGTTTGGGAAATCCTGCGTGCCGCCTTCGCTGTTTGGTTTCACCATAATACTTTTATTTTTTGTTATCAAATTTTTTAATCAAAATATGCGTAGTACATAGTATCTAGGCAAATTTTTTATTCTTTTAAAAAAAATTCTGTTATTTAATTTCAAATTAATATATTCATCGGTTGTTTATCCTGTTAGAATAAAGTGTTACTAATGAAGAACACGCGATAGAAATAAAAAATGGAAAGAAAAATTAGATCAATTTCGGTGCTTCTACATCCAGCACCATAATATTATTTTTAGAGTGCATCTACCACCTAATCTTATTTTTAGTAAAATTTAGGATATTAGATGCACCACATAACAGATTAAAATGTTAGATAAATAAGATCAGGAGATTAAATATCTGTAAACAATATTTTATAATTAGAATCGGAGATAATATATATTTAATCTTAAAAAAGATATTCAAAATTGTTGCCTTTGGTAGAAAATAAGTTTCTTTTGTTCTTTTGGTTTGCCAGAGAAAAATAAATTTTCATAGGAATATATTTAAATTAAAAAATATTTAAAAAAATAAAATTCAAATTTGAAAGTTTAATTAATAATTTAACAAATAATAATAATAATACTACCACCTCTGATCCTTAATATAAGAATTCATTTGACTTTTATTTTGATCGTAAATATAATATCTCAATCTATTTTGTCTCTCATATTTATTTATTTTTTTAAAGTAATCCTTCTAATAATGATAATTCTAACCAATACAAGATATTTTTAAAAAAAATAATACTTATTTATTATAAATAATTAATTTATTTTATTTTTTTAATTATTTAAATAAGTAAACTAATTTTTATTTTAGAATTAGAGGCAGCACCAACAATCATCGTAACGTCGGATGGAGTAGCAGATCAATGCGACGCGTGGTACACAAAAACACCAAATTAGGATTCTCACCGGTTGCGCTTCCATCACTCTCATGACACGCGTGATAACCACGTACTTCTATAAAAACCTAGATAATTCGAAGGTGATTGCACATTCCTCGAAAACGCGCGTGAACCAGGGAGATTTCCTTTTCCCACCCATAGATTCTGAACCTGACTCGAGAGCGAAACTATGCCCACGCTCTCTGTTTCTTCACTAACCGCCACTCAGTAAAGCGAGAAGTCCTAACCGCCCTCGGAAACCCTTCCTAAATTACGACTCTACCCTTCCTTTCCTTCTTTTTCCCCGGCCCCCATATAAACCCGCCTTCACTGAAAAACCGTTTGCGCAACTGATTCCCAAAAGGGCTGCTTGAGCTCTTTCTCTCTCCAAAACTGCTCCAACGCTCTCTCTCTCTCGAAAAATGGCTTCTGGTTGTGTAGCCTCTCCTCCTTCAAGAAACAAAACGACGATGTCGGGTTCTTCTTCGCCGGCGTTTGCTTCGTCTTCTTCGAGTTTCGCTCCACGGCCGTCTCCTTTCTTCACGGGCTCGTCATCCCCCTCGAGCCTCAGCCTCTTCGGCCGTCGATCTTCGCCTCCGTCTTCACCTTCGTCCTCGTCGTCGTCCTCCTCATCTTCTTCAATGAGATTCCCAATCGATAGGCCGACTTCTCCGCGGCGGTCAATGTCGGTGGCGAATCAGACGAATAATGCCGTCTCGAGTAACAAGAGGATGTGTATGTGTGCCCCTACGACGCACCCTGGCTCATTTCGGTGCTCCTACCACAAGCGTCTCGCCGAAAAGCAGAAGAATCGAGCAGCGTCGCCTTCTATTCAATCGTCGAGTACGAGACTCAATCTTCGGAGATCGGCGATGAAGAACTCTCTAGTGAGAATCGGCGGTGTGGAGGGTGAACTGGTGAATAGGACACTGACCACTCTGATTAGACCTTCGTCGCACCAGCTACGACGACGAGAAGCCTTCCAACCAAAGAGGAGTCGACTCTGGATGGTGTCCCACGCCGAAGACTAGGGATCTCTGTTTCCCGATTTCATCCCTTGGCTGATTCTTTATCTTCTTCTGGAAGTTTACTCTGTTACATGGATCATTGCTGACTTAGGAATTAGGACTTGGGAGTAACAATTTTTGTAGTGGTGAATACGATAGAATTATTTGTAAATTCTGGGGCAATGTTGTGAATAATTTTTGCTTTCGATCGCTAAGACTTTCATGTTCGAATTCGAGTAGAGTCTGTGATTTCGTTGTTCATAATTGTATTAACAGGTGAAGATTTAAGAAGTTTTGAGAAGATTGTGAGAATTTACGTTCACAATGAAAGATTCTGGAATTAATTGGTCAGAGGACCGTTGCTTTGAAGTTTTAAATCCTTCATTTAACTCGCTCATTATTCTGAACTGAATTGATAATTTCAATGTTAGTCTGTATCTCCTTTGTTAGTGATTGCACAATAATTTATAACTTAAAAAGGCAAAGTAAATCGAAATGCTCTTAAAAAAAGCAAGAGTAAATATAAATGAGGGATTTAATCGAATATATGTCATCAACATTAATTCAGTGAAAAAAATAAGCCGTTGAGTGTGGAAAAGAAAATTCTTAGTGGGGAATCTTTACAGTTTAGATTTCTCCATAATCTTTTTTTTTTCCTTTTTTGGGCCTAACTTCTCCATAATCTTTTGTGCGTAGTTAGCGGAAAATTGAAAAATTTGTGAATTGCTATCTTGTTTAATACACCTTCCTAATTCATTATTCTTTTTGCCCGGTTACTCTGTTCTTTGGGTCAATACTGACCTTTTAATAAGTAATAACTCTATGGTGGTGATGGATGGTAGAATAATTTGTAAATAAAATTTTTTCTTATTGAGATGATAAGTAGTCCCACTTGATAAAGATTAATCACATTGACCAGAGGATACTTTAAGTTATATAAAAAAAGTTGTCTCTCTTTTTAGAAAGATAGATAAATTTTTCATTTTCTTATCAATATTATATGTGAATGCCATTTACCCCTTCATCTTCAATCTCAAGATAACTTTCACTACTTCTACTATACATTACTTTTCCACTAAACCATCATTCCTCTACTATTCATTTAATATTGTAACTCAGCTCCACTCACATTCATTTAATATTGTAACTTACCTCCATTAACATTCATAAGATTGATTATCCACTATTTGTCATTTAAGAACAAGTGTAACATATATGTAAGACTATACGTATAAATAGGGTACGCCATTTGTATTGTGTGACAAGTGAAGAAATACAATAGTTCTCTCTTTTTTCTTTTTTTTTTGGTCTTCATCTTTTCCTGCTCTACTTGAGGATACTTAAAACTATAAAAAAAAAAAAAAAAATTCACTTTTTCCGGAGAGAGATAAATTTTTCATTCAATTGTTAAGATGGAAGGATTTGGAATTTTATTTAGTTAAACAAGCAAAAGGTCCACAAAAGAAAGTGTGCCCACTAAAAAAGTCTTTTTTTTAATGTAATGGGCACATATTTTATTATAGAATAGGTCAGATTCCTCTTAATATCTATTTGAGAAAGAGCTAAAATAGTTCCTAATACTATTGTTATCTTCTCTATAAATAAGTAATTTTTAAATCGTGATTTATAAAATAAATAAGTATTTAAAAAGACTTTTATCTCAACTTATATGAAACATGCTTATATATAATTAAATAAGTACACTCAAACAAGCACGAATTCATAGTGTTGGTCAACCATACCATACATGAAGGGAGATTTGAGCAAATTTACCCCCGGTTGCTTATAACTTTAGTGACAATATGGCATTCATAGCAGCTGCAGATTGAAATTTTTGAGGAATTACGTTCAAAATCAAAGTAATATAATTCATAGATGATTATATTGTTCCAAACATGGGAACAAAGAGGAATAAAAGTTCTCTTTCTGGGAAAAAAAAACAAGAAAATTAAGAGGAGAAAGTAGAGGAGTATTAATATATATATCCAAAGGAACTATAGATTGATGGATTCTTCAGTCTTAGTAATCATATTTAGATATTCACGGCTAAGGATAATAAGAGCTTTCGTTGATAAATAATAGTCTGATGCATCCGTTAAAACAGAAGGACAGAAAATAACCAAACTTACTATCCAAGAAAGAAAACAACAAATGAGAACAGAAAAACAATAAGTATTTAACATTTTGAATCTCCAAGATCATTCAAAGAAAACAACATAACAAACAAAAACATCAAAAGAAAACAACTAAGTAGTATTTAACATCTTGAATCTCTGAGATCCTTCATAACAAGATCTTGTAGAACAGTGGGAGGTCTGAGGATCCAATTCACAAGGCAAAAGTCCTGCTTCAAAGAAGTATTGGCAATCCAATTAGCTACCAAATTTGCTTCTTTGGGAACCCAAACAAACCTGTGAGTCTTTATCAGAGTCCTCAAAAAATTGATACTTTCAAGCAACGCATCGCACCCAGATGAATCAGATGGAACATTCTGCTGGAGAATACAATCAATTAAAGTTTTATCATCTGATTCAAAAATTACCTCATCAAGTTCATTGTTAATTGCATAGCTCATTGCAGATTCCATAGCCTTGAGCTCAATGAGCAAAGGACATTGATCAGCACTGCATCTGAAATTCCAGAGATCTAAGAGCCATCCATTTGAATCTCTGATTATAAAACACATTGCTGCAATTCCCAGTTCATCAGAAAAAGCACAGTCAGTATTTATTTTTAGCCAATTCCCTACTGGAGCTATCCATTTAATGGATGATGAAGAACTCCCATCTTCTTCATCAGTTCTTCTTCCATCATCTTCATCAGTTCTTCTTCTTCCATCTTCTTCAGACCCGTTATGAGAAGTAGACCCATTAGAATGACCACATTCAGAAGCCATAGCTTTTGCTGTAACTTGGACCACAAATGAAATGGTGTGTATGTAACCCATCATCAATATCTTATAATTTGAATCCTGTAATCCCATGATTATCGATATCGTTGCGATTTTCTTGTTATTGAAGATTTTGTTGCGATTTTTAATGATGGTCAAACAGAAAGGAAAGTAAATGTATGTTCTCAGGGAGAAAAAAAATTTGTCTACAAGATTAATTAATTATTTGTCAAGTTGAAATGAAAGTGAATCGGTCGTAAAATGATTGGGAAAATTGATTAAATTTGTGATACCTTATAAGTAATGTGAGGTGGCGTTGTTATACATTTGAATTAAGTACTTTATGCATCTTAAGAATATTTATGCGAACAATGTTGTTGTAATTTTTAATCGATGAAAAATAATTAATGGAAAGCAAATCTAAACAACCATGGAGATTTGGTCAAAATTTTGTCAATTAGTACTATTTTCACTTTTGAAAAAAAAAAAAAAAAGCCATTGAGCGTGAGATATTACTCCGTGATCTTTCGCTTTCTCCGTAATCTTTTCAGTATATGTTATTTCCTTTAATCTGCTCTATTTATTTTTAGTGCGTAACATAGAATAGAAGAATAGAGAGGACGGAGGAATCCATTAAAATCTATCACTCTGTTCCCACATGTAAGTTATCTGTGGGAGAAAAGTTCATTCTTAGGTATAAATCAATTGCATGGTGATTAATGACTTTTTCAATTTTACTTATATTAAACACAATAAAAAAATACGTGAATTTTTTTTAATAATACCCTTTCTTTAATTGGTACATGTGAAATTTTTATAAATTTAACGTATTTTTTACTATGAAAAAATGGGGTATAATTAATGATTTATATGTAGCAACAAAGTGGTAACATGGTGTCTGTCCAAAAAAAAAAAAAGTGGTAACATGGTGTTGTTTGGCCCTGATTAACTGCACTAAGTAAGTATTTACCACTCTCCAAGACTTACATTTTGAACCAAGTCATTTTTCTAGAAGTGACTTATAATATAGATTAAAGGGGTTTTTTTTTAATTATACCCTAGTTTATAAAGAAAGTATATAAGAGATAATGAATAAAAATTTACTATAAAAAGATAATAAATGGCATATATTTAATGGGTTAAAAATAAAAAGACGAGTTTAAAATTTCAGACAACAAGATTTTGTTTCTTATATTTAAATCAATATTATGGAAAGATTGTTTCTTATAAAAAAGAACGGAGGAAGAATTAAATGGTCCTATAAATAATAAATAAAAGATATAATTGTACATGTGTGTTAAAAATTTAATGATATGATTCATAAATTGGGTAAAAAAAAGGTTTTCCACTCTCTTTATCTTACATAAATAGGACGAGAAGAATATGTTATTTTCAGTCATCTTTATAAAAGAAAGATACAAAATTACTTTGTTGGCATGAATGTAAGGATAAAAGATTAGAATGTAGTTAAAGATAGTGGTAACTTCCCTTTTGACCCAAAAAGAATGCATCTTTTTTTATTTGCTCCATGGGCCTTTGATTGAGCCCATGGTCCTTTGATTCAGCCCAAGGTGTGGAAAATAGATTCTCTTCCTCCTGGCTTCTATTTCCTCTCATAAACTTTCAATTTTATCCTTAAATACACAAAATGTATATTAACAAAACGAATGTATACAAAGTATTTAAAAGAAAACTAAGAAAACCAATAATGTAAACAGGGAAAATAGTTGTTATAAACAGTTGTGCTCTGTTATATTTATCAAATATATTGAAGCGCTGAGATGAGAATTTAAATCATCAATATGAAATATCTACTCTAATTTTAGTCATAGGTAGAAAGCATACCAATTACTTTCCTGCTTATACCGACTTCCAAATCAAACCTTGGAAAAGAAGACTTGATATATGAAAAAGATACAAAAGCATGCAGAATATAGTGCCTTTTCTTTGTTGACTAATTGTGCAGTTAATTTAGACTACAATTTCTATGGACTGTGTTGGCTCATTTAATCTGACTTTTCTTAGAATTAAGGTCTGTTCAATAGCATTTATTTGAGTCTGAAAGCTGAAGCCTAACTTCAATGCTCATTTACATATTATTGACCCAAAAAAGTGAGTCCCTGCTCATAATGTTAAACTTTATCTAAATCCTCCAATGACCATTCCAGAATTCTAAGATGTGAATGCTAAAGGAGAACTAATTAACGGTAAATGTACACTGCAAATATGTCTACAATCACCATGAATAAAAAGATAATCCAAACTGGTTCATTTGTTCCTGAAACTATATACGGTGGAAATCTCCAATTCTGATGCTAAAGTTGAACATACAAAAGCAGAAGAGGCACAATAGTTACAGAATCAGACAGATGCTAAAGTTACCCATCTGACCACTAAAGGAAGAGAGAGAGAGAGAGAGAGAGTCTCAAATCTCTCACCTGATATGGAAAATCCCAAAGAAAAGAAAAGAAACTTAAATTTCAGTTTGGCTTTAGATCCTGAAACATAGCATCCCACCTGATCTCTTCAAGAGCAGCTGACCAATACCCATCATCATCTTCTTCTTCAGCCATCTTCATCCCCTTCTGCAAATTCTTCACCTTTGGGCTAGAAACTGAATACCCATCAGGAACAGATACAGTAGGAACTACTGCAGAATTCCCATTTGTGAGAAGAAGCCTTTCTTGCTTATAATTACTATTACTATTCATCATCAGCTTCTTATTATTGCTTCTGCTTCTCTTCATCCTACAACTCTTCCATCTTGTTTCCTGTTCACTTGGCCTAGTGGGAACCACCACAAGTGCTGATGATTTTTCTCTGTGAATCAGAGTGTGAATGTAATTGGATAAGCAATTCTTGGTCTTCTTGATTGCCCCAATGAGCCTTGACACCGGATGTGAGCTTCTGGGCTTTTCCTTCTTTGCAAGCTTGAGAATTTCAAGCCTGTGCTTGGCTATGGAGATTCCCATGCTCTGAAGAAACTCATGGTTGAAGTAGACCATGTCTTCTTGTTCAAGCTCGTTGTGAGCAAAAACGACGCCATACTCATAGACTAGAGATGGGTCAAGGCTTGTTTTTGAAAGCCATGAGAACCAATCCATGGCTGCTGATCAGCTGAACCAGAGAGTTCCTGATAAGAGGGAGGGAAACCAAAGAGAAAGTGAGAGAAAGTGGCTAAGCGTGAAGAGTGTGTGACCGACATCATGTGGGGTGAGCATATATATATACACATAAATGTATATGCTCTTTTTGTAAAATGGTTATTGTAATCTTGAGAGTGACTAAAGGGAAAAATAAAAGATCGGCGTGTGTAGGGCTGTCACCCCACGTTCCTGTTCCCTCCAAAACTAGGCAAGTGTGATGTGATCAAATCCTTATCGTGTGAGACCAATGTCAAATTATAATAGGTCATGATATTTTAATTTGGGGCAAATTACTTTTTTTTTTTAGTATTTTGTTAAAATTATATGAAATTCGTTTTTATTTTCAATCTTCTACACACTTTTGCTAATATAAAACACCATTTATCTTGAACTATCTTTGACTTGTCCTAAAATTATACAAGTTATGAACTGTGCGACTTATTTACTGAATCTCGTCGGCTGCATAGGCTCCACTTAGTTTGTAGAATTTCAATGAAAGATATATTTGCCTTTTTTTTTCTTGCCATTAAAAAATTAGTGAAGAAATGAATATGTATATATAATGGCATCTATTGCGGTTAAGGGAAAGAGCTTAAGGTGGTGGGGCAGCACTTGTTGCTTAGCTTAGTGGATTGAAAATCTGTGAAGAAAGTGAAAAATAAAAAATAAAAAAGTGACATTATTTGTCTTCGAAACTATAGTACTACCTCCGGTCCTAATTATAAGAGCCAGTTGACTAATTTAAAAAAGTTAAGGAAGTAAGTTGAGTTAGCTATTTGTCCTAAATAGGTGTTTTCTTTCTTAAAATATCTTTACTAATTAAGTGTATTGACTACAACTACTATTTTTAGAAGGGCTACTTTGAAAAAGAAATATAAATATGAGAGGCAAAATGGATTGGAGTCTTATATTTAGGACTAAAATAAAATTCAAACAGGATCTTATATTAGGGACCAGAGGTAGTATTTTAAATTCACTCATTAATTCATGCCTTGTGCATAACACGGATAGGTCTTTGATTAAGCTAAAAGGGAAGAGAAGCACTGCTTTACCACAGGTTATAAATTATGCATATTCTTGGATTTTCCATGGATAATAAATTATACATTATAAATTATATACACACCCACAAAGAAAAGTTTAAACAACTTAGATCTCAAAGACTTTAGGTTCAAGGCAGTTTCACGATTTAATGAGTTACCGCATATAAATATAAATATGAAGTACTCACCAATAAAATCTTCATGTTGGCATAAATAATGTGAATTAGATTATTAATATAAAAGTTACTGCATTATTTTAAATAGATTAAAAAAAATTAGTTAAGCTTGATACATAGTTGATAAAAGATTTACAAGACAGTAAATTTGGCCTCACTAATATTACCACACTTTGAGATAAATGCGATATTGATCTTCAAGGTCTTAATTAAAATATTTTGGAATTATAATTTTCATAGAATTGTGATTGCTTGTGATGTTGTGGAAGTTTTCAATATGATATCATGAAAAGGAAAATTCAAGGAAATTATATCATGTAAGTCGGGGAAATTTTTGGTCTTAAATATAAGTCAGTTGTAGAATATTTAATGCTTATTTTTTTAACTTTATCCTTATTTAATTCTCAATGGAAAAAATGATAGATATGAAAATAATTTATAAATGTAAATAGAGAAAAACTTTAATAAGAATAAAATTAAAAAATTTATCAATTTAATGAATTTTTAATTTTGTGAAAATGTGTTATAAGTCACTTTTTAAGTATTAGGTAGACATTCTTTTTTTTTTTGAGTAGGACGGTATCGCTGCCTCAGGGTATCCCAGCACAACCGGCCAGACTAATCCCAGGTGCACTCGCAGGTATCGAGCCCATGACATGGTAGGGAAGGCGCCTTGTGTTCCCGTTTGAGACCAGTCGGACCCAACCCTTGCAGGCAGGTAGGTAGACATTCTTCATCATACATGAAAGGCTAGCTACTTACAACTGATTTTCTTTTTCCTATATATCCCTCATTATGAATAGAATCTATATACAATTTTTTTAGTATCAGGTGATGAAATTTAAACCCCTACCAGGTAATTGATTAGAGTGCTAGTCTTTTTAAAGGTTTAAGTATTTTTTGAGTCAAGTAGTTTTTAGTGTACTGGATTTAATTGTAGATTTTTTCCTTTGATATTTAATCTTTTATAATGTGTTATTTTCGTTTTTCCGTTGTTATATATACACGTCTTTCTTGTTATTTGTCTTTTCTTTCTTTTTTTTTGGTCTCGGTTCCATCTTTTAATTACATTTATAATTAAACTCCAGTAATATTTCTCCGATGGCCATTTAATTTTTTTTTAAATACTAATCCCTATGCCAAAATAAAAAGAAAAGTAAGACCTATGTCTTCAATTTCCCAAGCAATAATACATCATTTTCTGTTTGGTTCGAACCATCATTTTCTCATTTTGTCATCTTCTGGTGACACCCAGCAGTCAGCAGGTAATTATATATAAAAGTTAATTAACATAATTATAAATAGAAATATTTTAAAAAAATATTAAATATAATCTCAATCTTAGAGCTGAGCCACTCAAGCTATATATATATCCTACACAAAAATAAGATTCCCATCCTAATTAATTAATTTTTTATTAACAAAAGTGACATAAACTTCCAAAACCTAATGTGCATGCATCTCTCTACAAGCTAAAAAGTGAATGTATGTGTGGAAGAACAAAAAGACACGTCATGGTTTAGATGTAGCTCCATGACAAATCACTTTTATTCCAAATCAGAAGAGTTTGTCACATTGCTTAACAAATGACTCACACACACAACACACTCCTCCAATTCTTAATATAAGACTTAATTCTTGAATTGGTTTTAGTTCTAAATATAAGACCCATTTCTCATATTTATCAATTTTCTCTAAATTACCTTTATAGATACTCTCTCGACCATAATCAAGTAAAAGAGGGAGATGGAGTATTAAGAAAGATGATTATGGTGTTTTGAGAAAAACGTATCACTTTTCTTATAATTAACTAACTTACCTAACTTCCTTAATCTAATCAAATTAATTAAATGGGTCTTAATTAAGGATCAGAGGAGTATTTATATATATATATGTATATATAAGATTGTTGTGTCCCATTCACATGCTCCAATAATCATCACATTTTTGAATGTATATAAAATACATAGAGAGAGAGGGAGCGAGGGAGGTTCACGGGATGATGTTTGAGGATAAGAGAACACTGTTGCCATGTGAGAACAAGACATGATTAAGAAAACATCACTTTCTTAATGTAAGTGAAGTAGAAAATGTGTTCTTATATCTATGGTTTAGCTAGCTTGATTGTGTTTATTGGAATTGGATTTGGAGTTTTCCATTCAAAACAAGAGTGAAAATGCTTGCCAATAAAAATTGGACTAATGAGTAAGAGTAGCTCCTTCTTGAAAAAATTAAAAAGGCAGGCACTAACTATCTAAGGTTATAATCAGGATCAAACACGTGACCTCTCATTTATAGATGGAGTTTATAAGCTACTCCTCCGGTCCTTATTATAAGACCCCATTTGACTTTTTATTTGGTCCTAATTATAAGACCCCAATCCATTTTGTCTCTTATATTTATACATTTTTTTCCAAAATAATCTTTCTAATAATGATAGTTTTAGCCAATATACTTAATTAGTAAGGATATTTTAGGAATGACAACACTTATTTATTATAAATAACCAACTTAACTTACTTCCTTAATCTCCTCAAATAAGTCAATTGGGTCTTATAATTAGGACCGGAGGAGTATTAAGTTACAAGGCCATTAACGAGTAAGAGTAATTTTAACACCTACAATGACATCAATTCAACTCTTGTTGTCTAATGAAGGACCTTATTACTATTAGTAGGTTATCCATAATTTTATCATTATAAGTATTATTCAAAATGCTACCTCGTTCTGTTCTTACTATAAAAGATACTTAACTAATTCAAATAGATTAAAAAAACTAAATAAATTAGTTAATTATAATAAATAAGACATGATTTTCATAAAATACATTTATGTAATATTAGATTATAAGTAAATTTCTAAGTTAAATATATTAGTTTGTGGGCAAATGATAAACTAAATTGAAAAATAAATCCAGGATGATTGTAATTTGAAAACCCTAGATGATATATACTACTTCTGGTCCTTAATATAAAAACTAGCTGAAAATTAGATTTGATCTTAAATATGATACCTCAGTCCATTTTGTCTCTCATCTTTTTTCAAAATATCCCTATTGATTACAAGAAATTCCCACCAAGGGATAATTCTAATTATCCAATACACATAACTAAATAAGATAGTTTAAAAAAATTAACACACATTTGTGACAAATAACCAATTTAACTAATTTCTTTAATATTCTCAAATTAATTATTTAGTTCTTATATTAAAAACCAGAGGTAGTGTCATATTATACTCTTAATCATATTAAGAATAATAAGTAAAATCATCATTTTTCATTTTCCCCTAGTATTCCGAGGTCTCCACCATCATACTCAAAAACTAGTTATTATATATAATTGAATGTGGGACTCTCTCTGTGAGTGTCGATCAACACTGAGCTTCTGAGGTTGTATTTGATTTTTGGATTAAATAATATTCAATGTTGTGATATTATTTCTTAGTTACATCTAGAACCCTAATCTTATATTTATGGTATATTTAGCATTCTAATATTATTTTTTTAGTACTTTCAGCATCCATAATCTTATTTATAATACATTCAACACTCTAAACCATAAATAAAATTATGGTGCTAGATGCAACTTAAAAATAACAAGGGTTGTTGGATGCACTAGGAAACTATATTAAAACATTGGATACACTATAAATAAGATTAGAGTACTAGCTACTACTGAAAAATAACTTTATGATACTAGATGCTATTCGACGCTGATTTTTTTTTTTTTTGGTTGAGAAAGAAAATATAGTGATAATTATTTGGTTGCCTTTGGCTGGTAAAGGTGTGTTTGTTTGTGGACATCATAATTGAGTTTAAATGCAGTAT